TGCTGTTCCGGCCTTCATAGGTGCTGCTCGCTAACAGCACTTGCCCCAACAGTCTGTTAAAGGATATACGGGGGATCTTTGTATTGTGCCCGATTGAAAAGTTGTCGTCTTAATTGTTAATGAACACAATCTGTTCTTTTATTTTCTCTGGTTTGTTCGGGATGCTCAACACTGCAATGCAAAGTCGATATTTATTTCGTCAACCATGGCCTTCCTTGCTAGAAAATATCTTCAGTCACAACGGCATCTCACGTGGTTGAAACGAAAGCTTTCTGTCCACGTGTCTGGGTTCGTAACAGTCAAATTACGTAATCCGGGTGTCTAACCGAGCTGTATAATAACACATGTAGAGAGTGAAAGGGGTCCATCACTTGATATGATTAACTCCAAACACACTCGAATGCATCACATCTCAGCAGCTAAGCAGGTTTGAGTCTGGATATCGCTTGGATGGGTGCCTACCGTGTAGAATGCATAAGAGGGGTGTTGTGGGCTGCTGTGAAGTTGCGTTATCAGCAGAGGGCAGCCTCCGTCGATCCCGACTCCAACCTGCGCTGATCAGCGTGGGGAATAAAAAACAAACGACTGGACATCTGTGAAAAAAAATCGCTTTATAGCTCATCGGATTCCTCCAGTATAAATACATATTGTGAGTTGTGATGAAACAACGCCCACAGTTCGTGTTGGAGTCCAGCACTGTGGAGTCCAGCACTGTGGAGGCAGGCAGCGAGGGTTGATGGACCACACACACACACATGGTTGCTGGGTCACAAGGACCTATCCACCAATGTTAAATGAATGAGGTGTCAATGAAAGTCCTTGATATGCGAACAATGTTGAAATTACAAAAAAAATACCCTTTGGCCCAATAATTCAGCTCACTTATTAGTCTCCAGCATGGCTTATGCGATCTACCGTATGCAATAGCCTGGCATGTGCCATGAGCCCGATTTCAAAATCATACAGCGAATACGCGTATGCCATTGGAGTGGAGAGAGAGGTGTGTGTGGAGGGGGAGTCGTTTCATAATCTCAATCGCCTTCCCACTCGCACAGGATACAATAAGCTCATTATTCAGGTATTGGCCCGACTCCCAAGAGCACTTGCGCTGCGAGATATCAATTTAATCATTCTTGGTTTCTGACAGCTACAAATGTCGATGGTTGTTTGCGCTGTTCTCATGTCCATGCTCCTTGCTAACACCCCCCCCCCCCCCGTTGTGACCAATGGCCCAGATGGTGCAACGCCGTTTTTGTGGACGTTTTCAAGAATGAAGCAGCCGTCGCATCGCGCAGATTCCAACGCTCCGGGAGAAATGTAACGTGGCAAAAATGTGAACACAACGAGCTGTCGATGTTATCGGAAAGAGGAGGATGCGATGGCCGGAATGTGTGTAGGATGGACGAAAGCGAGTTTAAAGGGACAGGCGTTGGAGTGGCACCCGCAGAGGTCAGCAGCCAAAGGGAGGAGCCGAGGGCAGAGTGGATATCGTCGGCGTGGATCTTGGTAGTTGGTGTTGAGGTTTTAACGACCACGGGATTCTAACCAAAAAGGAAATGGAGTGATGGCGAGGTGTGGTGGCATCTTAGGCTTGGCCGTGATGACCTCTTGACCTCGCCAATCGAAATCAACTGAATGCACCTCACAAATTGTTTAATCGGAGTTGGTTATTGCACCGCGTCATGAACTTGGCCACCTGCGTTGGATTCCCAGCCTGTGACTGATGAAAGTTCATGGCAAGTGATGCCTGAACAGGCCCCACGTGACCCTTCCACACTGGCAAGTGATGCCTGAACAGGCCCCACGTGACCCATCCACACTGGCAAGTGATGCCTGAACAGGCCCCGCGTGACCCTTCCACACTGGCAAGTGATGCCTGAACAGGCCCCAAGTGACCCTTCCACACTGACAAGTGATGCCTGAACAGGCCCCACGTGACCCTTCCACACTGACAAGTGATGCCTGAACAGGCCCCGCGTGACCCTTCCACACTGGCAAGTGATGCCTGAACAGGCCCCAAGTGACCCTTCCACACTGACAAGTGATGCCTGAACAGGCCCCACGTGACCCTTCCACACTGGCAAGTGATGCCTGAACAGGCCCCACGTGACCCTTCCACACTGGCAAGTGATGCCTGAACAGGGCCTGTTTTTCCATTCCACATCGGTCATTGGAACGCAGACCCAACGCAATTCACGATCCCGACTCGGGCGACAAGAAAGCGAGCAAGGCCGAGTCGGACGAAGCTCCGCTCACGACAACGCCCACGTGCCTTCCGGTCACCGAGCGAAGGTCACGTGGATGACTACGGTGGTAATGTCAGGTGACATGAGTAATGACGGATGATTATAACGACGAAGACGATGATGGTGATGATGATGCGCCCGAGGGGATGATTATGATGATGACAAATATGTCATGGTGATGATGCTGCTGCTGCTGGGATTGGCATGATGATATCGACGACGACATATGAATGAGTGACGTCATAGTCAGGGAGGGGAGGGAGGGGGGGGTCACACCCCGAGAACTCCTCCTCCACCCTGACTCCCGCATTCCAGTTCTGCACAAACAAAACTAAATTACGTGACCAAAGCAATGCAACTACGGTCTACCACACATCGCAATAACGTCACCAGGGGAGACAACTTGCCGCGCATCCGCCCTCCGAAGGAGACCCGTCCCAGCGAGGCGTGTGTGTGTGCGTGTACGTGTTAAGTAAACAATGGAACGCTCACACCCAACGGGACATCGGGCAACAGACGCTACGGGGTGACGCGCCCACGGCCTCGCCACCAACCTTTAAGGGGGACGACGAATCTTTAAAAGTTATATGATTAGTACTTGGGTTAACACCTACGGTATGTTTTTTGTATATATTTTAACCGTGCGGCAGAACACACACTTGTGCCCGTGACGTCGCAAGGCATGCCAGAAATGTGCACGGGCGACAGGGTCATGGAACAATAAAAAAGATGTTTGAACATGACGCACAGTGGAAATTAATCAGCGGGTCAAGTGTCCGAGAAAGCCACCGCGATGCCATTAAAGTCTGTTCGGTTTCGAGAAACACCCCTGCCATTTATGCGAGGGTTGCCAACCATTCCTCTTGAGCCCTGGTCGTGTACCTGTGTGTGTGTCTGTGTGTGTGGGAGCTGTGTGTGTGTGTACCTGTGTGTGTGTGTCTGTGTGTGTGGGGAGCTGTGTGTGTGTACCTGTGTGTGTGTCTGTGTGTGTGGGGAGCTGTGTGTGTGTACCTGTGTGTGTGTCTGTGTGTGGGGGGAGCTGTGTGTGTGTACCTGTGTGTGTGTCTGTGTGTATGGGGAGATGTGTGTGTGTGTACCTGTATGTGTGTCTGTGCGTCACACCTCTTTCGCGCCGTACATAGCCAACCGTGCGAATCGGAGGTGCGGACGGAGGATAACGAACTTAACGCAAAAATGCAGTTGTGAAGAAATGCGTTTTCGATGTAGATTTACAAGTGCATAGCTTCAAGTGGGCTTCCGAATATCGCAAGGAATGAGCGTTCGAAGTCTCCCACAAGCGTAACATGACAACCACCGACAAAAGTCGGTGTTTTTTTTCTTCTGACTCCCAGCAAATTCCTTTGCATTACGCATTCAATACCTCGAAGACAGCACCAGGTAGTCTTCTCGGATTTACAAAAAAAAAAACCCACATTTCTAACATTTCTTTTACATTGCCAAAAAATTGCCATTGCTGATGATATTGTCAGATTAGGTCCGTGTGCACGTTTCGAGCAAAATGTGTTTAACCTCAGAACCAAGGCCGTATCCACACGGAGAATGTTACTGCTATTATAGTTGGCGTAGAAGCATCAGTTGTTTTGCAGCATATGAAAACGCACAAGTTGTCATGCGTAATTGATGTTCAGTATGATGCATCGGTGTATATTGCACAAGGGGGAGGTTGAGAGTGGAACGTGAATAATCTGTTGGTGTCTTGCCGAGGGCTTACACTTCAAAATTGTGAAGGTTGTGCACATTCCTGGGGTCAATTTGATAGGAATAATGAGATGAACCAGTAATCTTTATATTTACAATAAATCGAGTTAAAACTGCAACACTGCTGCAGAACATTTTCTGGGAACCGAATTTATGCCGGCCAAGAATCCCTCTGCCGGGAAGTGGGGGCACAGTGGTTTACACACCGCACTCCGCACCAGGTGACCTCAGTTCAATTCCCAGCCACGTCTCACATCATTGGCGGGTGATATCTGAACTGGTCCAGCCTCCAACTCCCAGAGCACTCACCGGCGTGGTGAAGTATGGTCAAACAACCCCCATGACAGGACAGCCTGGGGGGAGGCCTTCATGCAACTGATGATTAATAAAATATATCTTTTATCTTTAAACAAATCTCTCCAGTTGACCGCACGTGCGTAGCCAACCGTGCTAACCAGAGGTGCGGGAAACCTTTATGAATCGTGACAATGTCTGACATGTCATTCTGGAGTAAATGTCGCGCAGAAGAATATTTTGGCCACACGAGCTCCATCGGAAAGTCATAATAATCGTACCATTAAAACCATGGCACAGGGTGTGCCCATTTAAGCATCTCAATTTAAATGGCAAAGCATCTCAATTTAAATGGCACAAACGCGTCGTGATATTTTGTTTTCTGGCAATAACACAACATGACAACTGCACTGCTGTCTCCTCATACAGGGTGGCTTATCTACACATCATCTTAAACGGCATAACATAAACAACTTACATTTACAATTGAAGATTATTGTCATATTTGTTTTGTCTATCTGGTGGAATGAATATCGTTTCGAATTGATAACCGCAGCAATAAACGTCGTTTTGTCAAAAGAAAATATCATCGAGAGTTATCACGGACACACGCACATCTCTGCCACTGGTACGGCGTGTGACATTTAGACGATTTACATCGAAATTGCAGCTTGCAGCCTCACACATACTGCGTTGCAATCGTTCAAAATAGCACTGAATAATAAGCGGTGAAAGTGGTTGGTGCAGCGGCAAGCACAATGCACAGGGTAGTCCACATGTCTTGTAGCCCCCATTTAATTAAAACAGAAAAGGAAAGTAAGTAAAATTTAAAACAGAAAAGAATATGCAAAGGAAAAAATATTAGGGGTCAATTAATTTGGGGGGGGGGGGCACAAGACATCTGGACCACCATCTACCATGAACTGAACTCAATTACCGACCAATAATAAAGATCAGATGTTCGTGGATACATAGGCGCGACTCGAGTGTTTTAATTTCTCTCTCATCATAACAAGCCTCCCACACAGCCATCCCCTTACAGCTTGCAGCACATCACGTCACGCGTGCAAATATAAGCTCGATACGTTTGTAAAACTCCAGAGAATTAATAAAACCCACGGATAGGGTGCAGCTTGCCATACACAATTACTTTCAACACATGGGTATTCATAAAACGGGTTTGTTCCACGCCTTCCCGAAATACAGAGTTTCGACAATGTGATGGAATCTGTTCCACAGTATTGACACATTTACTTCCACCTGAGAAAAGCATCTTGAAATCAATTACAGTGATTACCCTCTGGCACTGCAGGGTAATACCCCCTCCAGAGAGATGTGTTCTTAATCAACAACACAACACCATATCGGGAATGGAGTTCAACATTTCAGGTGGCTGGTTGGTTCAGGGGTTAAGAGCGCTGAGTCGGCACCACTCAGATTCTGGGTTTGGATGCGAATATTCACCATCCGTGATTAACCAGATTTTCAAGTGTGCCAAGTGTATGATCTATGGCCCGGTCACCAAGGACTGCACGCAAAAAGCCCCGTAAAAAAGAAAATTTGGTTTGGCAATTAATATGGCCGATTTCCAGCTCTGAGAATGAGATAACCTGTCTGTCGGGTGACGATCTTACAGCCGTGTGTGTGTGGGTGAAAGTGTCAACCCTCTTGTGTGAAGGCCAATTGTAGAAGTCACGTGAACAATCTCTTCCAACGGAGCACATTGCCGAGATTTCCGAGCACAATTGTGATACATTGGGGAAAGGGGGATACCAAGACAATATTAAGACCTTTGAAATTTTTTTTTTCTCTTGGAAAAATGGCACAACTAGAGCACCAGCGGTGTGGTTTGGGGACATGTACGTGCTGCGGTAGGCATTACGGCAGAGGTCGCAACCGGGTACCCGATACCCGTACCTTACCCGATACCCGGCTATCCGTACCCGGCCGGGTAAGGGTACCCGTTTGCGACCCAAGTGCGGCCGGGTACGGGTAAGGAATGAAAACCCGTTTGCGACCTCTGCATTACGGTGGTGGGTCTCGTAGGATTAACACTGCGGACAGGGCAGGCTGCCTGGGGAGCATTGTGGAGTCTGTGGCAAAAGTGGATGGAATGATAGGGTGCTTAACTGGGCTGACAGGTGATTTAAAAAAGCTTGTCCTGTTGCGATGACGTGCTCGCCCGAGGAAAAACCGGTTTGTTGAGAAGCCTAAGGGCCCTCTCCCAGCCCACACCCTCACCAGAACCGTGAGCTCATTCTTCACCAGTTCGCTTTGTTTTTAGATCGGCCTTGTGTGTGGGGGTGTGCGGAGGGCGGAGGAGCGACGCTCACAACAACGAGCGGAGCGTCGGGTGACTAAAGCACAGCAAGTTGGTACAGTAGGGGGCACAGGTGGTGCATCAGCCAGTCATCTCGGTCAGTCGACCCGTGGCACCTGCTGGGTCTGCCCCGTGACCTCCTGCCAGCGGGCGTTCGACACTTCACGTGGTAGCCTCAAGGTGCACTTGGCCTGGCACAAGCGTCGTGGTGACGTCACCGCCACTTAGTGGCGAATGGCGCTTGTTGTTGTTGTGTGTGTGTGGGTGTGTGTGTGTGGGTGTGTGTGGGGGTGTGTGTGTGGATGTGTGTGGGTGTGTGTGGGTGTGTGTGTGTGGGGGTGTGTGGGAGTGTGTGTGTGTGTGTGTGCGTGGGTGTGCGTGCGTGGGTGTGTGTGGGTGTGTGCGTGGGTGTGTGTGGGTGTGTGCGTGCGCGCGACGTGAACAGTGGCACGAGTGCGCGTCGCTGCGAGTTTACGATGCAGCAGTGGCTCTCGTCTTACCCGGGTTACGTGGGCCACACTCCACACAGGGAGATCGCATGACCGCGCATCGAAGCCAATGCGGCGCTATAAACGTTATCGTGCCCATCGAGGCTTGTGGGATGCGCTCGAACTTCCCTGCGGCTGATGTGGTGACGTGACCGCCGAGGCGCTGCTGGGTCACGTCTCTCATCCTCCTCTCGCGTCGACGTCTCAAGATGCCTGCACCGTTTTATGGCACACTCATTGCGCTTAAATTTCGATTTAAAGCTTTCGTGACTGCAGGGATTCATCCTCTTGGTTCTTTCGGTAAAGTCACGTTGTGGCCGAAACGTCGTGAGAATTATTTTATTATCTTTTATTTTTTATTATTTTATTACTTCCCTTCTACGTGACTTTACCGAAAGAACCAAGAAGACGCATTGCGCTGTTATTTGGGCTCCACTTCCCACACGCACGCACGCCCGCCACTGAACACGCTACCCGTCTGCCGTGCTTCTCTTCGTTGGCTGGCAGTCAAGTTTCAGGTGGAATGCAAGATCCTCCTCCTTCTCCTCCCCCTCAGCCGACAAGGCCCTTTAATGATGCTACTCCGTCGTACACGTGTGATCTTCTCCATCCTTGCGTGCCAGCGAGAATCGCCAGGGTCTTACGACTCTGGCCTGCTGCTGTGCGTGCCAAGGTCGTCCCTCTCTGCTTGATGGGCAACTGGGCCTTCCCCTGTGTGGCCTCCAAGCTGTGGCACCCCCCACCCCATAACCAGATATTCGGTATCAGTGCCAAGTCTCTCCCGGTCTTTTTATTTATTATTTACCCATTGGGGGATCATTTCATTCGGTGGGATGTTCTTATCATGAGCCTGCGTGCTTTTTTTTACCGTTGGGTTTTTTCATCTTACTATTTATTATGGGACGTTATTTTCTTGCCAGTATCAAAATATAACAATAAGGCTTTACCCTTTCTGGCAATAAAACAGCAGGTGTTAAGATGTTAAAACACCAAACTGAATTATTTTTCAAGGAATCCTGCCAGCATTAATCACACGTACTTATATGCATTGTGTGAAATCAGTTTCAAAGACAATGGCGATGTTTTATCAGAGCATGTTATTTATTTGCATATTCTCTACAAGTGGACAGGATTCCTTGAATAAGAATTCTGTTTGGTGTTCTAACATCTTAACACCTGTTTTATTGCCAGAACGGGTAAAACCTATTGTTATATTACCATTTATTAGCTCTGCACAGTACTCTGTGAACCCTCAGTGAAAGGTGATTTACAAGTGTAAATGTATTACTTTTATCACAATACCGGTGATAGATATTGGTATAAATGAATTCCTTTCATCTGAACGTAGATGCCAATTTGTGGACTGTCCTGGTCCAACCCAAATGGGTGGAAGCCCTTGTACCACATCAAGTTGTGCTGACATTAATTTTGGAATGAAAACATTTTAAACCGCATTGCATTGCCAGTACAGCCCCAATGCGGAATCCCAGCACGTGCAATTTCCTTGCTACACCAGTGCATCAGTAAACAAATACAAACAGTTCTTAAATTACTGTTAAAATATGTTCATCAGGCTGTGGTACATATGAACAAGTCAAAATAGTTATTTTGATTCATATAGCATCTTCATGCAACCGCATTCTAAGACTCTTTACAGAAACAATGGAAAAAAATACATTTTGCTATAGAAGACCAACAATTAGTATCCCCCCTTGCCACGAACAGTTCCGTAGCAGGCCCTCGGAGAACCTCCAAAAATAAATATAAAAAATACTGGAGTGTCTCCACGGAGGCTTAAGACGTATTGTCAGAAGGGTCGGGAGGGGGGGAGCATTGTTTATACGCGAAATCCCAAAGGTGTAATATGCAGGTAATCTTTTGTTGCATTGAAACCTTTGGTCAATACCAGTCACACATATATATTTCAGCTATGGGAGGAAATCAAAGAACTTAAGAGAAAAAAAACACCCCATGCAGAACTGAGAGAGAACATAGCAGCTCCTCCACGCAGAAAAGTGCCCGAGTTGGAAATTGAACCCAGGAGCTTCTTGCTGCGTTGCCCTGCTGCCCTTACCCGCCCATCGCCCTGGCCAAGCGTGTTGGGGCAAATAATAAAGAAATGGGTTGCACATGTTGGGCGTCACTGGGGCTCGAGAGAAGAGATGAACACGGGGAAGTTGGGACGAGCTATCGTGCCGCAGTTGGTACGATGGGAAATGTGCCGACAGGTTGAATGGGTAAGGATGCACACCGATGTGCCCGCACCTCCGATATAGAACGGTTGGCTACGTACGGGTGCCAAAGAAGTTCTACATATATACACATGGTGTGAATGCGATGAGGTGTGGCGGTTACGTGAAGAAAGCAGGACAAAGGGCAGAGGGAGGGATGAGTGGGAAGGGTTGGGCAGCCATTGCCACAACTATCGAGTGTGCAGGCAGTGCAACCGCCCCAGGGCCCAAAGGCTGGAGGGGCCCCGGTGCCGGACTATGAAGAGAGGCAGGAAATTGGATAGAGGGGGGTGGCCCCCATTTCATTCCTTGCCTCGGGGCCCATTGCAAGCATGCTAGGGCCATGGTGGGAACAGCGGCGAGGAGGGAAGGAAGGTGGGCGACAAGCAGCAGCGTGACGAACAACGTCTGCTCGTGACCACCTCTGTACGGTTGCTTCCAGTTAAGGGTACGGGTCGAAGGGTTTTGATGTAAACGTTAGAGAAAAGCACGTTGTGCGCGAAGGGGGCCTTGGCGGCAGTGCCGGCGCGGAAGGCCCGGTGCAACCCTGCTCGGCTCGCAGTCACACCGTCCACTGGGTCCTGTCGAAGCCGCTCGCTGCAACGCAGAACGAGAGGACGAGGCAGCGTTGCGTCAGACGGCAGGTCGGCGTGACGGGGTCTCGCGGCCCAGCATTTGTTTTTAAGTCTTCTTGAAAGAACTCCGCAAGGGCGTCTACCAGAGGTCGCAACCGGGTACCCGATACCCGTACCCTACCCGATACCCGTACCCGGCTGGGTACGGGTACCCGTTTGCGACCCTGGTGCGGCCGGGTACGGGTAGACCGTGAGTCACTGCTGAGTCACCGTTTGTCACTCATTTCGGGTAGGGTACGGGTAGGGAACGGGTACCCGTACCCGGCCGGGTACGGGTATCCATTTGCGACCCTGGTGCGGCCGGGTACGGGTATGGGTAAGGAATCAAAACCCGTTTGTGACCTCTGGCGTCTACGTCGACGTACGCTCGCGCCGTGCCCAGACGACAACTGTGGTGCGCGTTAAAAGTTCCCGGCTGTCAAAAGTCACGGAACCCAGCACACACCGGTGGGGCGGCATGCAACGGCCAACAGAGGGGGGGGGGGGGGTGCTGCTTTTTAGTCACAGCCAGGTTTTTACGCAAAGTGTAAACGTAAAATTCGGCAATTTAATTCCGTGATGCGATGGTTCCGAGTTTGCACGTATTGACGAATTCTGTTGGTGAATATGCAGCGTATAAGGCCAACAGGCTGATGATAAGACTAAAATATACAATATATTACGTGGCGATACCTCATGAAATGTTATTCATTAAATCAATGCAACTTGATTTTTATGAAGCTTCAAGCTCATGTTCTGAAAGCCACTGTTATTTGAGCTGCTTGTTTGCTTAAGTTCCAATTTCGAGTGATAACTTCCAGATGACGCCTTCAACGGGGCGTGTTGCACGTGCGAAAATGAAAACGATAACTGTAACATACATTGTGTATGCAACATTCTTTATGCATTGCCATGTTTTGAGCACGTGAAAACCCTTACTAATTGCCTGTGTCGGGTGGTGGCGGGTTTAACGACACGTTTATATTTACACGATCTAACCCAAAAACCTATATTATGGATAATATTGGTCGCGAAAGCCTACGTGTTAAATCAAAATGATAATCATACAATGTTTATCCGGTAAAGCCTCACCGAGTCTCAGGACTCACCTTTGGGAGGTTACCTGATTTGGCACACTTAGCCAATCCAATGACTGAGCTTTTTTTTCACGGGGGAGGAAAGCCGGATACCCCGAGAAGACCCGCCACGCATACGAGCCAACAGCGTTAAATGCTCCACGCGGATGGATTCAATAATCCACTGCTGTACACATCCGAAAGGAAAAGCTCTACCACGATGCCTGGTGTTCCCAGACAGTCCTCCCGCCAAAGTACAAACTTGGCTCAACCGTGGCTCAGCTTCTGGACGGGATCGAGCGCGATCAACGGTGATTTGGTCGCAAGCGCAAGCCGAGGCCTTACCTATCCTTTTGATGATCTCCTCGCACTGGTCACCATTGCCAACGTCAAACACGTAACATTCAAACGTTCTGACCTCATCGGCACCTTTAGAGCTGCGGTCAAAGCACAGGCATACACACAATGCGCACACACACACACAACGCGCACACACACACAACGCGCACACACACACAATGCGTACACACACACACACAACGCGCACACACACACAATGCGTACACGTATAAACCGTCGTTCCGTCCGCGCGCGACCCGACGCGTGTTATCGGCAGCTTACGTAATCGATGTTGATCGACGAATCGATGCGGTGCTACACTCCCCGAGTTTACGATGCCAGTTTTACACTCGCCCGCATCCAAACGCTTCCCTCTCAGCCCTCCAACGTACCATACGCAGTAGCCGAACAGTGAGGGCTTGTCCAACTGTCGGCCCACCGCTGAGATCTCGGTGTAGGCATGAGTAATCAACAGCTGAAATGAACACAAGAGGGTTACAAATGCGTCGCTTGGCGACACGGCAAACGCGACGCAAAGGTTCTCAAGTGGCCGTGTCGACGATGTTCACTTCACAGTATCGTATCGTACCCCCCCCTCACCCCCCGTGTGGAACGTTTTCTACACCAAGGGAGAGCAGTTTTTTTTTTGTCGTCCGCCCGCGCTACACAGAGAGTCACATTTTGTCGCACGGTCAAACAAAACCAACATTTAAATTCTCAACGGCTGGTATTTAGCCGAAATAAGTGGAGTCCCTGGTGACGGAGCTGAGACCACCAACTCACTAGACTTGAAGCCCAGTGTGTAATCAGGGGCAGCTGTCTTGAATTCGAACCTGAAATCTCAGCAGCGCCAGCTCAGCACCCGAACATCTCAGCCATCTGGCCATATCCTTCCCATCCCAGATTTAACCTTGGCAATGTGGCACACGTTGACAGATACACACGTACTGATCTACCACCTACACGAGATTCAACGAATTGTCGTGAATCAGGGCCCTTTATTTTATTGAAGAATCAAGTTCTGTTTTCGTGGACTAACTAGCACTGCCCGCGCGTTTGAGCGGGATACACGGCCGAGGGGGAGGATTGGAGTGATGTCAGCGCAAGGCATGATCCCGGCTCAACGCTGTGGGGGCGCGGTTGCGCATCTGTCACTTTTGCGAATTTGCCCATCCATGGCACCCAGCCAGCAAAACTTTAAGAAAATATATGAAGTGCGATATTCACCGTACTATTTGTATTCTTGCTCAGCCTTCTCAGTCTCATTCGTGCATGCTTGCCCACCACATCGGCATGAACGCAACATGAACATATTAATTCCACAAACTGTAAATAATTTATTCTCGAACGCGCAATTCTAACGTATCACTCGCCGCCGACGCTGGCCGTCGGCGGGAGTTGATCCCAGGTCGCGGGGTTCATAATGCAGTGTCACCACTCCACCCCTGGCTGCGTCGATGCATACGCCCGTTAATAATGCCTCCGCCGCCTCCGCGCGGTGCCGAAAACGCGCGGCGTCAGAAATAATATTCCTGCAGCCTCGAAGAAGCCCGAGGGGCCCTGTGAATATATTTCCCCGGACACTCGGGCGACGGAGCGGTTTTCCCCGCTGGGAGTCGTTCCGCACCGGGCCGGGGGCCGCTCACCTTCACCGTGCTCTTGAGCACCGTGACAACTTCGGTTTCCCGCACGTCCAGGTAAACCTCCTGCAAACACAAGCGGACGCGCGTTCACCTGAGCCGTGCGCGATTATCAACGCGGTAAGCGCTTTTAAGAAACGTCGTGCATGTGCCCCGCGGTTGACTGCACCGCAGTTAAAACGGGGGGAAAAAAGCCTATTACGAATAACGATGGAAAAAAACGATTACACTGTTTTTAGTTTTTTACCAGGTAAGGCCCCCACTGAGCTGTGTAGCTCCTTTTCAGAAGCGACCTGGCCACAAGTGGTAGCCCAATGAAGTGGCCTATCACGTGGAAATGTTATAGCAGCCAAATTACTCTTGAACGTATGTTCTGACTGTGGAAGGAAATGCCGGAGGAACCGGAGAAAAATCCAAACGGCCACGGAAAGAAAAAACACGCAAACTCCAAATATACAGCAGGCGTCAGGGTCGGGATCGAACCCACGACCTCCTGTATACCAGGTGAGGTAGTTAACATCTCGCCACTTTGGGCACCATCAACCATGCCAAAGTCCGTCAGCCGTTTCCTTAATTAAGAGCCGGGAGGCTTCGGCTCTGAGGACACATCGCCCTGGGCTGACGTGCTGGTGAATTGCACGAGAGCTCTGCGCACGATCATCGACAGCCCTTCCTCGGGGATTGGTATTGGCCTGGGGGGGAGTGGGGGGGGAAGGCCGAGGTTGACCTGGACACGCAATAATTGAGGCCGATCTCAGACATCGTAATCTCCGAAGCCTGCGCTGGGCGTGGGGGTCGGGCGCGGGGCAGGAGTTGCCGGGTGATGCCTCGTGATAACCGCTACGCCCAGGCTGGGGCCTGTGACTGATCGATTTATTTTATTGTTGCAATAAAAGCAATTTGGAACTTGATCTTTTGAAAAATTTATTTTTACCATGAAGCTCCACATACATGCGAAAACATCACGGATATTGTGATTATCTTATGATGAAAAACTATTCCTTCACAGTAAGTTTGTAATGAGCACTTTAATCCATTACTTGTGCAATTATGAACGTAATTGCAATGAACCATATTTCAGTGAAACACTGCGCAATGAACCTCCGATTTGTATCCATTCTCAAAGTTTACGCCGCTTCGGTAAGTGCTGAATGTTTCATTTCGATTAGCGGGTTGTGTCCACCTGTATACCAGTCACGATCCAGGGCTCCCTTGGCAAAAAGCTGTCAAGTCTCAAGGGGGTTCTCATCGTGTCGAAATGAAGTTCTTTGTACGTGCGCGTGTTTGCAATAAAGCTACTCTTGCTGATAGCCCGTGGTGGTTTTCTGCTGCACTGCTGTTGTGCCACATTACCCGTGACGCGAGCAAATGTTTCCCAATTGAGGTAATGTCTCAGACATTGTTAGAAAGGACAAAAGCCCAACATCACTGCCTTCTGGAAACACGGCATCACACGCATTCAAGTGGAATTGTCTCATTCTATAAATAATTAATGCAGCAGTTCCAGCGATGTGTATAACTTTTTTTTACACCAGCTACGTTTGTATGGCATGTATTGTTGTTACACACTGGAGAATATCTGTCTCAATAATACTTTTCATCAGGAACATGTTATAGGCGATAATAAGCGAAATTGCGTGGATAATCGAGTTTGCGGATAAGAGGAGCACCCCCCCCCCCCCCCCACCCCAGACTGTGCTTTTCATACGAGAGTCAAAATCACAATCTTAATTTATCCCGGAGAAATCCGACATCCAGTCGAGTGCCCGTGGATCGAGAGCGGAGTGTGGCGCACGGTCGGTGCCGCGGGGGCGGGCTCACCTGAGGTTGTGGCTCGCCCTTGAGCACCAGCTGGATTCCAAGATTTATTGACTTCACTTCTCCCTCCTGCGACACAAGACGAGACCCGCGTTGGGCTCTGTTTGGCAGAGTGACTGTCGCGCGCGGAACAAACGAAAGGCGGTTTTAGTCGGTGTGGACGGTGGTGCCTGCCACGGCGACGTGTGGATCGGTAATTCGGGACCGTTAACAAAGGAAAGGAGGGACAAAAGATGCGTGGAGAGATGCATCAGATAAGAATTGCCAAGGAGAGATATTGACTGTTGAGAAAATCAAGTGGGTTTGGGCGAGATGAATTTCTCAAAGAGATGATGGCTGACGGACAAGACTGGTGAAAGAATGGCAGCTCAAGGCGAGAAGACGCTGGAGAGGATGACCACCGGGGAGATGACTCCATCTCCATGATGGGCGTCCTCTCATCTCCATATAGAAGCCATCACGTGCAGCATATTTCAAATCGAAATGCCTTCACTGCGTCCAGAATGACATTTGGTCGACAAAATATAAAGGACGTGCACTTTTTATCCTGTTCGCAATGAGGGTGCGTCATTTGGAAGTAAGGATACATCTTCCTCTGTCCGATTGATTTTCCGAGCAATTTCTGAATCGAATAAACTCCAAGGCCCTCTTGTCGGGCTCCCTCTAAAGGAGACCTTTCTGTCAGCAGCAGTGTGGCTTAAAAAATAACAGAGCTGCACCCTTAACCTTCAATCCTAAACGGTACTAATTTAAATTAAAAAGTGACGGGCAAATCTGGTACCGGGCTAAGAGGATTCCGACCGTTTGATTAGGATGATTAAATAATTGCTTTAATCGCCCCCGCACAGTTGCAGTGTCTCTGCTGAAAATCAGAACTCACCTTGCCGACAGGCACACTCCCCAGGTACTTCATTGTGTGCACGAGCCTGGCAGGGCGAGACACACCTGTCAGAACCACCAAAGATCCCCTTCCCCCCCGCCGCCGTTCAGACTGACAGACTGTCCTGGCCAAATGCTGTCCGGCAAAGCACCTGTTCAGGTCGGTGGTGCGTTTCCGGTTTTGACAACGATAATTGCGGTTCTCTTCCAACGCAATTACACGTTTCAATTAATTAAGTCACCGAAGTAATTGGTCATTTGTATTTACAGCTCGGGTCGAGTTACAAGTGTTCTGAAACTTGCAGTGTCTTTGCGCTGTTCGCTTTGTGGCGTTCTCTGCTCTAACGCTGGTGAGACAAGGCCATAAAGAAGGCCGTCTCTGGTGTAGGTCCAATCAGTTTAAAAAACAATGCAATACATCATCAGAGCATGTTTGTTTGCATGTTTTGCCACAAGGTACGTGTGGTTAATGCAGACTTGATGCCATGCAAAAAGCTATCTATTTCGTCTTGATTTGAAGCTTTCGTGATTGCAGGGATCCATACTCTTTGGTTCTTTCGGTAAAGTCACGTGTGTAGAAAATGAAATAAATCACGACGTTTCGGGCGCAACACAAGCGTCTGTCATCAGGTGGTACAGCTTTCCCACCTGATGACTTTACCGAAAGAGCAAAAGACTATCTATTTGGTGTTTGAACATATTAACACCTCCAGTTGAATTGCCAGAAAGGGTAAAACCTCTTCAAATTTGTTTAAATAAATTTTGATATTGGCGAAAAAAAGGTGCCATGGATAAGGGTAAGAAGTTCAATTCCCGGTCGGATTTCCTAAAGGGCTGTGAAACGTACAATTTCACGACCGACGCTCATGCGCCCCGTCCACGTTCCACCTGCCTGCCGTCCAGCAGAACCTTGCTGGGCCTGGCCGTCGCCTCCTGGCCTCCCGACTCGACCACCTTCTTCCGCTCCTCCACCTCGAGGGGCACGTGCAGCTCGGGCGCCTCCTCGTGCAGGCGCCTGTAGTACGACTTGAGCGGCGGGAACACCTTCCCGTCCCGGCCCACGCGCTTCGTCACCGTCAGCACCACGGGCTCCCCCCGCGCCTTCCTCAGCAGCGACAGCGCCTGCGACGGCGGAGAGCGCGAGCCGAGAGCGGTTTTTGTCTTGACGGGTAATGTGAGGACGAAAGTTCGCGCACACGCAAGGAGTTGCGCGACGCTTTCCAAGCGCGCGTTCGTCCCCCTCGGAAATATTTAATTAGCGGCAAATGTTTCGGTAAAAGCCGCGCAAGATGAAGTCATCGCCTCTGCCAGAAAGGCAAATCTGTTTTAGCATGAGCTTTTATCGCCAAGTTTTAACCCGGCGTGTAATACTGCAGAATTAAAATTGCTTTGGATCACAGAGTGACTTTGTTCAAAGAGCCTTTGCATGAATGTCTTGTTGCTTATGCAACAACAGCTGCAATAGTCTGGATGACATCCAGTGGTAATGCTCAACCCAACATGGCTGAACTTTTTTTAATGCACACGATTGCGTGAAAATGTTTACCAAGGCAGGTAATACACTAATGATATAAATTATTTGACTGTTTTCTTATTTGCGCCTTAATTACTTACCTAAAACTTTAATTAACATTTTTTTTATTCATCGGCTAAGCAGGCTCCATACCTTACCTAGATCCCCTGTTGGGATGCCCTGGGCTATGTTGCCTAGGCGAGAGGGCAGGGTGGGTGTTGGGCCTCCCAACCTACCCAATATTACACAGTTCAGGGCCGCTATTAGGGTTGTCACCTGTCCTAGTTTTCCTAGGATAGCCCGCTTTTTGATGTATCTGACATCAAAAGCTGTATAACAACACATCGCTCAGGATGACGCATTTACTCGTAGTTCTACCATCTTCTACTATCGTCAGAAATTATTCTTCCCACGGGAGATGGCAGAGACTCGAACTGCGACTCAACGGCTCGGTAACGGTTCGACCGTGTTGCAAAACAAGAAACAACGGAGCCACTTTGTCTTTAAACGTGAGATGTCGCACGGCATTCGAAAAGAGCGCGCGCATTTGCGTTTCCTTTGTGCGCAGGAAACGTTTCCACTCCGTTTAACATCGGGCCCACCCGGGCCCACCCCCCCCCCCCCCCCCCCCCGCCTAAACGGGCGGTTGGCTCTTGCCTGGCCCTTGGCCGAGTTGTGAATGGAGACGCCGTTGATTTCGTCGATCACGTCTCCGAGCGTCAGCCGGCCGTCCTCCGCCACGTACGTCCCAGCCGTCAGCTGGGCCACGAGGGCGCGTCCGTTCACGTAGCTGAGGGCACGGCGCAGGGGCGGCAAGAGCGCTCAGCTGACGACGGCGGCGGCGACCGATCGCAGCTCGTGCCGCACGGGAGCATCGATCCGCAGAGCGCTCGTGAGCGCGCACGGATATAGCGCGCGGCCAATAAATACCGCATCGTGAGACACCTAATGGTGGTAGAGAATGGAAGACTTGGTAATTCACCCTTCGCTATGATGCCAGAATTAATACATGATTGGGAACATCCTTCTTAGAAAAGGGACTAAAAGGAAACCCACATTAGTTTAATACTGCAGAGTATTTTAAGAAGTTTTTACTTTAGGTTTAACAAGTGAAAATGAGGCCTAATTTCACGGATAAAATTACGTAATTTGTTTTACTTTTAAAAGAAGTCCTCAAGCTCGGCATTGCAGCGCTTAGGTACAAACGCGATGCAGTCGCTAAGTTGGGCAACGACGCGGCCCAGTGGCATCGCCGCTTGGTACAGGGATTCACAGTTTGTGTCCGACAGCCACTAGAGTTTTCACCTAGCTTTCACAAAGTAAACTTAAACTTGGAACAGAACTGCGGACGGGGAGGTTTATACACCGTGCTACGATAAATTAATCCTACACATAGCCTATGCAAGCGCGTACGATCCCCACCACACCTGCATAGATGAGGGCACCGCGATGGTGAGATGTTAACTGCCTCGCTTGGTATACATGTGACAATTCGGTCACAATTCAATTCCAGAGTTGATTATTTAGTCGTCTCATTTTTGATACTTTCAATGGGTGTGAGGCCACGAAGACAGAGACTCACTACAGCAGGGCTCCCAGCTCCTTGCAGGGGACAAACTCGTACACGTGCCGCACCTGCAGCACAGAAACAAGGACGGCCGTGTGATTAATTCTATTTTAGTAATTGTAATACTGCTATTTATTTAACCAGGAAATCTGACTGGGTTGCACGGTGTTTGAGTGGTTGGCTCGCAAGTGAAAGGTGACGAGCTATAATCCTGGTCAGGGGTCCAACTCAGCCCATCATCCTTCTGGGGGCCGCTAAAATTAGTACCACTTCGTGGGTGAGTAAACAGTGGTCATCCTATGCAAAGACTTGCCCCCGGCATAGGAATGTGGGATCATTCTTTCATTGGCTCAGGGCCGCAAAACATGCGATGAGTGTGCAACGCTTAAAAAGTCCACACGGATGGGTTGACAAACCCATTTGCTGCCCTGCCATCTTTGATGCCATCTTGCAGCCGACAGTCGATTTTGGGAGTTTCAATTTTTTTTTGCGATCCATCAAACGTGGCCCATAAAGCGCTGGACTTAAGTTGAGCGCCACCACACCCACGACTGAAATGTTTCTGCAAGAACCATGAAGAGAATGACAGCCTGCGAGGCAAGGCCTAGGTGTGTTGCAGTGGAGTGATTGTGCCCTCTTGTGTTGCAATGTCGTGATATTTACAGCTCTACATGTATTATAGGAACCTTTGCAGATTCGTCAATAGCATTGCCTTAAAAGAAAAACAAATACATACGCAACGTTTGGGCAATGGCCTTTCCCCATTGAGCATAAGAACGTTTACTTTGAATTGCAGTGAGAAAGAGCAATTGCCTGCTATGTCACCAAATAAAAATATTTTTTATTTTAAGGCAGTGTTTTTGACGAATGTGTTGGTGTTGTGCTTGTACATGTCTGCCAATGCAGCATCACCAAATGTTTATATTGATATGTGGGGTGGAGTAGTGGTGCAGCGGTTGACGCAATGCTTTATGAACCCGGCTATCCGAGTTTGAATCCAACCACAGATAATATCAGTGATGAGGTAACAACTGAACCACATTTCCCTTGTGCGCGCATTTGTGCGGTGAGACCGATTTTAAAAAATACCACCTGGGGAACTCATGCTGCCTGGTGTGACATCACACCAACGGTACTCAGACGTCACATGAACACGTGTAACAAAAAAACCACTCGTCCTTTGTGCAATACGCAAAAAAATAATCCATCAGATGTTCCTGAACAAATTCATCGTGGTCCTCCCATCTTCATTGCCCATCAAAAGTAGCTATCGGCGGTGTGTTTTGCACAATGCAAAAAGGCAGAGTGCTCTTTACGCGTTTCTGCGATATGTTTGAAACTAACGGTTTGCCGGACCTGCGCTATCTTTCTGTGACGATGGCCGTTCCTCGCCATTCACAGGTTTCATCATCACACCGACGTCGCAACGGCGGCGATATTCGCGACACCGCAGTGCCACACGAATCGGCGCTGGCCTCCACGGTGCAAAGGCCCCCGAGCTCACGAGTGCAAGTTCAAACTTGCGCCCTGCTAAGTTCGCACGGGCTGTACTGCCAAGCCCTCCTCAGGAGTCTTGTGACCCGTGAATTCTCTCTGGTTTTCGATTTAAAGCTTTCGTGACTGCAGGGATTCATCTTCTTGGTTATTTCGGTAAAGTCACGTAGAAGGGAAATAATAAAATAAAATAAATAAAACATAATAAAATACAATTCTCACGACGTTTCGGCCACAATGCAAGCAGTCATCCTCAGGTGAAGAACAGATCTGTCAGAAAGACTTTACTGAAAGAACCAAGAAGAAGCTCTCCGGTTTGTCTGCTTTAGCATGACAGTGTACTACTTACGGGAAGGAGCCAGCTCTCATCCAAGAATGTGGAGACCTGCCAGCACAGGCGACACATCAGAAACAACACAAATACAATTTTCAAGCGAGCCCCACTCTGGCGACGAGGCACTCCGTGTCTAAACCGATCCACAGCTTGCGTCTACCCAATCAATGCTGCTAAAAGGGAGGCCGTAGGGCCGATGGGTTGTGTGTAAAATTTTTTTTTTTTTATGTGGAGAGATAAGATATATGAAAAATATATATTGCCCACTTATCTATTTCGCAATACTGTTTGGATTTATGCGTGTGTATGTTGAACTTATTTAGCACCGTACGTAACCAACCGTGCTAATCAGAGGAGCATCCAGCCAAATGTAGCTGCATCGATAAGACTGTACAGACGCTGTAAAAAACAGCAGGATACGTCCTTCATGGGGAACCACTGAAAATGTGGTTACATATATTCGACTACCCGCCTTGGCTAACAGCAATGGTGACCGATGTCTGAGCTGGTCCAACCCGCACTGACCAGAGTGGTGAAGTATGGCCAAAAACCTCTGTGACCGGCATGGCACGGGGGAGGCCTTTGTCGACGCATTCACGAAAGGCTGCATGTTAATATTTATTTACTTATTTTCTAAGGCACATCACAGACGGAGGACATCCATGGGCAGAAGAGAAAGCGAAAGCTCTTGAGCATGGACTTGGACTGCGGTGGTGGGCAGCTGGCAAAGGGCAGTTCCTGAGTATGAGGGCAGCAGCACAGAAGTGACCTGCCATCACAGCGTGCTATTTGACAATAATCTATATTTAACTAAATTTTTATCATAAAAAAAATATTGCGATTATGATTTGCTCGCTATTTTTTATTTCGCTTATCTTCATCCGTTCGTTTCTCAGTCCGCTTGTCCTGGTGAGGGTCGCGGTGTCAGCGTGTTGAGAAGGGCCACCCAGACCTCCCTTTCCCTGGCGACAGACTCTAGTACTACACGACTATACACTACTCTATACACTATACATTACTATACACTACACTATACACTACACTATACACTACTCTATACACTACTACTCTATACACTACTACACTATACACTACTATACACTACTCTATACACTTCTACACTATACACTACTACACAATACTACACTATACACTACTATACACTACACACAGACTCTAGCTCTTCCTGGTTAATTCCCAGAGGCCAGCCGAGCGACATCGTGCCGCCAGCGTGTCCTGGGCCGGCCCCGGGGTCTTCTACTGTGACTTGTTGCGCAAGTCGGAGAAGCGGTGTTTTTTTTTGTTGATGAAACCCGATTTAAGGGCTTCTTGGCACACAGGGTAATTCAAAACAAAGTGAAACTGATCACGGGTTTTGCCAGAAGTGCGTGGGGTAATGGAGTGGCGAGCATGTGAAAGGGCAGGGGGGATTGTGACATTACATTATTCATATCCTCCTACCCGCAAAGTAAAACTCACTTTTGAATAAAGATTTGTTTCATATTGTAACAAGCAGTGTCTACAAGAGCTCCAAATTTCCATGTCTGAAACCTGAAGGATGAACGATCCAATGTCTGCGCACGTTTCGTGGAGTGCCTCCCCCCCCATTCGTTTACCGGCGAAAAGCGTGGCTCTACAAACTACACATTTGCGCGTCGGCAAGAGGCTAATCCGCTTGCAGGGTGAGCAGCAAAAAAAAAGGAATTAGAGAGTGAATTGCAGCAACACGGTGCAAGCGCACAAACGCAAACAGAGGTGGAGAGATGACGTTTACTTACAACCAAGGGACAGTCCATCGAGACCACAAGTCGATTGGTTAGGGAAGACCGAGGCCGAAAGGAGTACAGCCAAACAAACATAATACGCACAAAACACACAATAGACAGGAAGGACAAGATCAATGGGCTCGCATAATGCGCATGGATAATGTGCGTTGACTCAGTAATCCCCCCCACCACCCACTTTGATCAAGATCGCAGAAACGTGGTCACCACATCTACGCCTCTATATAAGGAACGAAACAGACTCCTCCACAAATCTGGCTGTCGCCTGATGAAGCTGGCTGTAATTACTGGCGAAACATCATACTCAGTTTGTAAATGTTGTGGCTTGGCTCTCCAACACACCGGTTAGTGCTGTACTAGTGACGAATTGCCACGTTCTGTTTATGTGACAACCCTTACTAGTTGGCTGTGTCGGGTGGTGGTGGGTTTTAACGACACATTTATATATTTACGTGAACTAACCCAAAAAAAACTCTATTATGGATGGTATTGGTCGCGAAAGCCTACCTGTTAAACAAAACACAAACGACCACACCACTGAGATATTGAGTGCAAATCCCAAACGCCATGAGCGTGAGCGTGTGCGACCAGGATTCATCATCGAGATGGAGCGCACAGATTCTCGCTCCGCTGGTTGGATCGGTGACGCGATGGAAACACCGAATCCAATGTGCCCTCGAGATCGCCATAATGAACGTGTTTCATAGCACACCACACTACCAGAAGAACCAGGTAAGGACGAAGATTGAAAAACTAAAAAAAGTATGAAATAATTTTTTTAAATTTAAGAACAGGACTTGAACAGATAGGAACATATAGGTACACGTAAAAATTCAAAGGACTTCAGAGTAGATAGGGGAGAGTGGCTGCACACTGGTTGGAGCACTGCGCAAAGAATTTTAACAACGGAGTTTACTTTCTGGTCTTGGCTAACAGTGGTGGTGCTGTCACATAACAGTGTTTGCTTTTGCGCAACATTGGGAGTTTTAAAATAAAATGTAGTTAAACTACACCTGCCAGCTATTTGAATTTCCGCAATTAACAACGAGAGTTCGGGAGTTTCTGTTTGATTAAAGTCTTATATTTGTAGATAATGTGTTGGTGAAGACAGGGGCTACAGACATACACGATTCCCAAGCGAATAACTATCTCTCGCGGGAGAAACGAAAAAGAGAATGGTTAAGGCAGTGAACTCAAAGGCAAGGTTTTATAACATGGCACATTCTCAGATCTTGAAGCTTTTAAAACCAAGCGGCCGTGCCTTTTACACCCATTATGCATCTCTGCGGCAAGCAGCGACTTGCCAACACTGTGTGTGTGTGCGCAATAAAACTTGGGGGGGGCAGAGGGGGGGCACACAACGCCTGCAGCAGAAGACGACGGGGACCAAGGTAGAAAAGGCAAGTCCCCGCGTCTTCTGCCCGGAATTTAAGCGCTTCACCGCAGGTATGATAGGAGGCAGAAGGCCTCGCAGCAAGTCGCATCGTAGGCCAGCTAAGGATTAACTGGCGCCCTTCGGCGAAGAACCTTCACCGTCGTTTAACGAACGAATTGTGGAAATAAATTACCGACCACTTCAATGGGATTTACTCGCGTCGGATTGAAGGAGTTTGGCACGCGAATTGACGCGAGCTTTTGGCTGGTGCGCACGCACGTGCGCCTCCTGCTTAGCGAGCGCCAAGTAGCAGCGGGTCCCACCCACAACCTCAGTTCCAGGAGTCCGGATTCCAATCAGGAAAATGTATTACATGCATTTTTTTCATTCTGACTTTAGCAGCCACTAGTGGTTGCAGACATCGCTTGAATTCATTCGAACCGCAATATGCGAACTGGAGAACAATTAGAACCATCGGTATGATGGCCTTTATGCAGAAGTGGATTGACTGTAAACGGCGAATAGTTTGATATTAAGGGGGAAAAATAATTACTAAAGTAATTTACTGAAGTAATTTACTGAAGTAATTTCTTATGCAGTGAGTCAGCGGCTAATTATAGCCGAACAAAACCAATGAGTCGCTCTTTGGTTGTGGCACCACCTAGTGGCACAGACTCTTAACTGCAGCACCAAGAAACCGCTCATTCTCAAGTCTTTCTTGAGAGCTTTTCACAGAAATGTTTTATGAAATGGATCAGGTAAAAAAGAACGTGTAACTTGTCATATTTTACAAGATCTGGGAGATATTTTGTTTAGCGACATCGAGGTCTGTCTTCAAAACTAACCTCTTTAAACTGGCCTTACCCCTGGGTTCTGACCATGTAACAATGGTTCTGTTTGTATCCTGCTTTCCATACTTGGTACATTGGGATCTACGGATGAAATGCTCCTTCCAGATGTAAATTATTATTATGATGGAAGGACGGTTTCCCGATTAATAGAAATCACAAGACGGAGAGGCGTTCATGTTTGTGTCGGACAAACAGCGGTTATGTTTACACAAGCCTGAACCATCAGCCTATTAATTTTAATCTGGTCAAACACGTGGCACGGGTTGGGGCATCGCCATGGTGAAGACTGTAAAGAAACCATGAGCGCTACTCATCCAGAATAAAATCATTGAATAGAATCCCCACCCTCAACCTCAACAGGTCAAATATTTCCGGGGGCGGCGGGTACATCGCCACACGTTCACGCTGCAAGTTAAAAAACGCGACGCGGGGCAGACTGGCACACCAGAGGCTGATGTTCACACTTGCGCGCCACCACCTTACCTCCAGCTCCAGGTTGAAAGAAAGTTGAGCAGCAGCATTCACCAGCGACAGGAATGGCTCTGCAGAGCACACACAAAAAACCCCACACACCACGGAGCGCACAGCGATCGCAAAAGCCACGGGGTCAACTCGCCACAAAACGGGCCCAATCTCGATTTAAAGCTTTCGTGACTGCAGGGATGCATCTTCTTGGTTCTTTCGGTAAAGTCACGTAGACCTGTTCTTCACCTGCGGACGGCTGCTTGCGTTGTGGCCGAAACGTCGTGAGAATTATTTTATTATGTTTTATTGTTATTATTTTATTATTTCCGTTCTACGTGACTTTACCGAAATACCAAGAAGATGGGCCCAATCTCGTTGAAAATTGGGAGACTAAGCCGGGTCAAGCCTGGCAATACCAGGGTTCTGTAGGCCTAGGCTGCAGGGCGGGCAGGAGATGGCAGGACATTGGATTCTTGGATCCGCCTACCTATTGGAGCTCAGAGTTTCATTCTCTCGTGGGGTTTTTCCCGGCGCTTTGGTTTATTCTCATGACATGGAATTGTCCCAGTATCCCAATGCAGGGTCCTCCTGAAAAATAGTCTTGAGAACTTGAAAATAGCATTTTTACTCTCATTATATTACTACGAGGCGTAGATTCATACGTAACATACATGGATGTTCCGTAATCAGAGAATAATTCGGTACCACCTTACATTGCAAAAGCGTAGCACATAAAGTCAATTAAACATATCGAAAGAAAACTGCCTACTTTTATTCAGCACATCAAATGTTAGTAATTCTGGGGTCAAAATAATGTGTTGTCTACTTTTGAGTGCAAATAAAAGTGTGTACATGACAAAACTTGGTTTTGACAACTTTTTTACGTGAATCTCGTTAAAAATAATTTGTATATGTACATATTCATTTTAGGATTTCAATCCGGAAAATAACAATGGTTCATTATTGTCTGGCTAATTCTAATATATTTGAAATAGTGCAATACATTTTTGTTGCAACAAACACGAAGCGCAGGAATGGCGGGACCTGGACCGGTTGTCAATGCGATAGACGAGTCTGTGTGCAACATTTCAGCTCGTTAGGACTCGTATATCCAAAGATATTAAGGTTTGAAAGAATATAAACAGACAGCAGGGCAAGTGAAATAAAAGTGTGTGAAAAGCGTCGTGACGCATTGATTTAGCGATTAAAGCTGATTCTCATGGCCGTGCATGTCACAATTGAGCGTTTTCAACTCACAAGTTGTGTGAATTGGGGTTCACATGAACCCTGCAGCCACTAGAGGCTCTAAATTATTATCATAGAGAGAGTACTGTGGATTGTACAGCAGACAAGAACGTATTTCTTGAATGTATCGCAGCTGCAGAAACTTGGGAGAGGAGTTGACAGGAGATCATTCCACATTTGAGCAGCGCAAGCAGAGGAGGATGAATGGGAGGCGTTGCGTCCTGCAGCAAGGAAGTCGAACGCAACTTGGAAGGGACGGTACAGTCCATCTGGCAGCAGGGGGCCATGGAAACCCATCACATGCAACAGATATACGAACCGGAAACATTCTGACACCTGTGATGAGATGCGTGGTGTATCGTGAGCTGAAGAAATCCACGTTAATCGATGGGTTGACTCATCCCTCCGCCTCAAAGTGAACAGTTGTAGCAATGATAATTGTTTTTTTACCCTTCTATCTGGCAACAAAACTGACACCTTTTTTTACAAGGAGTCATGTTTGCATAGACTACAATACCTGGAGTCGTAATGCAAACAAAAAACATAACTCTGATAATGTATGCACTGTCCTTGAAGTTGATTGGTCCACACCCGAGACAGCTTTCCTTAGAGCCTAATCTCACCCTGGTGTTGGACCAGATGACGCCAAAAGGCGTAGCAATGTGCTTTGTTCAAGCAAAGGAATACACTCAAGCTGTCACGTGACGAGCTTATCACAAATGCCGAAGTCCGTTACCGAACGCAGCACGTCAGCCGGTGTCTGAAATAGTCAGAGCCAGGAGCCTTGGCGCTCTTCAGAGACATTGCCAGGTCCTGATGATAATAATGATGATGATGACATTTAGAACGCGTGGGATTTTGCTGACAAGCCGACAACTCAGAGGTCTGGAGCCAAGCTCAGGGCTGCTCGAAAGCCTGACTCAGCCAGACGGAGGGGGCCTGTGGACGTTTCTTGAAAGTCAGAGTACATTTGATGGTGCGGATGTGCAAAGGGATTGACTGATTGCCACGTGGTGTGGGCTATGCATAGGCTTGATGTGAACGATTCGTGTTCTTAAAAAAAGAAGAGAGGTGGTTTGTTACCCAACATGTCTTCGTTGCCAATGATGGAAGAGTCGGGCTCGTACCATTGCTACAGAACGGCAACACGAAAATCACCATGAGCACAGCATGACTGTTACATCCAACGTATTTGTAGTTAACACATGTACATGAAGCTACACCTGTGTTAAACAAGGGGGGAGTGCAGCCCAAGTCACGAGCACCTTGCACGGTGAAACCGGCGACCCGTATTCGATTCCCAGCCATGGCTAACATCTGTCGGCGAGTGATACGAGAACCGGCGTGGAAGTAACAACCACCGCGACCGATACGGCATGGAGAGGCCTTCACCCAATGGCTCAGAGGTTCAATCCTGAGTTTGAATCCAGGCAGCCGCCTGTGATGGTCTAGGTTGATGGTCATCAATGACTGCACGAGAAAAACCTTCACATAAAAGTTTGGATGTGCACTTAAATTCCAGCTCTGAGGATGACGAGTGATCAGTTTGACTGTCATGCTATGAACGTTACTCACGGCCAACACCGGTGACGATTATCTGAACCGGTCCTAGACCTCCCCTATGTCGATTCAGCATCAAATGAGTACCTGGTGCGATGTGTAAACATCGGGGCTAGGGAGACAAAGACGGCAGTGCGTGGTGCTGGCCACCCACTGCCACACCTCATAGCTGCTCGCTAACAGCACTTGCCCCAACAGTCTTTTATAGGCTATCCGGGGGATTCATTGTCCTTGTTTCTCTCAAGAGGCAGAGTGTGTATGGAGAAGAACTGCCCCCTAGTGTGAGCCAGAGGCTACTCAGAGGAAGCTCTGCGTCATCCGCTTCCGCGAGCCGTTCTCTAAAACTGGGTGCTTCACTGCCTCGTGAGAGTTCTGAATGGATATACTTCATCACTTCACATGACGCTGATACCACGCCGGTAATTATCAAAGCGGGGAAATAAAGACAAATACTTTGATGAGGCGACAGCATTTGAAATACGTGCGAACGTTCGCAAGTTACTGTCGTTGTCAAGAGGCCAGTACCGACCACTTTGCTGGTGACGTGACGACGAATAACACAAAACGTGATAATGGCGGAGAAAAAAATATTTAAAAAGTTCTATTAAGGCAGTCTTCGACTTACGAACATTGACTTAAAACGCAAATTGAACCACGGCACTATTTTGCCCACCCGATCGATCCTCCGCGACATGTAATTGAGTCAGCCTCGGTGCTGGAGACGAGTGTTTGTGCGGCTATTTAAACACACAGTCGATTGCTGTGTTCCGCCTACGAACTGGGCCTCAGGAACACATTCGTAAGTCGAGGACTGCCACCGTCTATATTTAACAAACAAAAACAATCCGCCCGCGTCACGCCACCTGGAGCATGCAGGGCTGGCGTGTGAGCTCACGGACGACGGAGCTCAGCGCCTTCTTGGCGAGCGCCACCCGGACCAGCAGCCGGCCCCGGCCTTGGGCCGTGAAAATGTCCGCTCGGGACTTCACCGTGTCCACCAGGAAGGAGAGCAGGGGGACGTTCCTTGGGGAACAAACGCGCCGCGTATTTCGCGCGTCTGTGGCAGCCGACAACACGCGCTCGCCGTTGACGGCAGCGCCTTCACGGTCGGCTGCGTACGGTGCGAAAGAAGTTCAAAGTGCGTACGTGTTTCGCCGTCTTACGAATACTACGTATGTATGTTGAATTTCTTTAGCACCGTATGTAGCCAACCGTGCTAATCGCAACGAGAAGTTGTTGCTTTGGGCAACGATGTTATATTTACACCACCCTAAGCTGCGAATAAAGTGGCTTAGCAAAGCGGCTGGGTGGTGGGTCAGAGGTCGGAGTGCTGAGTGGGCACCGTTGAGATTCAAATCCATAATTCAGCCGCCAGTGATGAAATTGCGCTCTCAGTCGTAGCGAGGTGATGGTCTCAGCCCGGTTACCAATGCCTGCATGAAAACAAAAACATCAGATGCCATTTGGTTTTGCACTTAACATGCCTCAATTCCAGCTCTGAGGCTTAAATATATAGTTTTTTCTGTTCTCATTTAACCGTGGTTACCACGTTGTGTTAATAGCTCTGGACGATCCAAGCAAAGCCAACAACAACTGCAAGCCCAGTTCAGCAAACGTGTTCAGCGCACCACTCTCAAATAGATCGCAGTCCAGTGGGGGCTCCTTGCACAAAGGAGAACGATCGTCAACGCGGTGGTTCAAAGTGATCTTTATCGAGACCGCCGTGCAATTGCGAGGTGACATCTGCCGGCACGCGTGACCCAGGACGATCGCCACAACGCGGAGCGACCTGAACACACTCGGCAACTGCCACCCCCCCACCCCTCCCCGGTGCAAGGAATGCAATGGGGCCCAACCGTCAAAATGTCCCTGCCTCTTCATGGCCTTGTGTGCCTGGGGGTTCTGCTGCTCCCATGGGCCCCCGGTGCAGTTGCACCGCCTGCACACTCGACAGCTGCTGTCAAGGGCGCCACGGTGGCGAGATGTTAACTCCCTCGTCCGGTACGCAGGAGGTCATGGGTTCAATTTAGACCCTGACGCCTGCTGCGTATTTGGAGTTTGCGTGTCTCTCTCTCCCCGTGGTAGCGTGGATTTTTCTCCGGGTCCTCTGGTTTTTTCCCCTCCACATTTAGAAACACGCGTTTAGAGTATTTTGGCTGCTATGAGTGTCCACGTGATTATAGGCCACCTTGTTGAGCTATCATTTGTGATAGCCAGGTCGCTGCTGAGAAAGAGCCATACAGCTCAGTGGGCCTTACCTGGTCAAATAAAAATAGTTTAGTTTTTAGTTTAGTTTACTCGACTGTCAATGCACATGAACAGAAATAGTAAAATAGTACCTTGTGCAGTAGCTCAATTCAGAGAGGGCCTCAATCCAGTTCCAGTAGTCCTTGTTAGTAAAACTCAACGCAGACTCTGTAAGATGTAAAAAAAAATAGGATCTTTCTTAAGAAACGAATGACAGCTACTGAACGTTATGAGTGTCACTAATACGAAGGGGAAGACTGTCAACGGACAAGACCCGTCGTGGAATGGCAGTCCGAAAGGAGCGGACACGATCGTGGATAAGGAACAGTGCTGTGGTTGAGAGACGAGGTATAAGTTCGCACGCGCAGAAAGCGGATTGTGGCATCCAGGAGTGAATCTATGAATGGCTCAAAAACTATTTAAGTGGGAAAAGATGGAAACATTCAATTTGGAATGCATCGGCCTGCATCATGGGAAGGCACTTCTTGAGTCCTTTCAGTCGGCCATTCATGCTCACTCGATGGCACAACGTTGTATCGGTCACACACTCTTTATCAGAGAAGGAATTTAACCAAATTAACTGAGAAAATCAACTCACGACACTTGAGAACTCGGTTTAATCACCGGCAGCTATGCATTTGAAACTAGGTTCCATACCTGTCAACCCCTTATCAGTGCCCTACCTTATTACAGACCAATTCAGACCTTATTGGTCACCCTGTGCCCTTACAAATCTCAACGTTCATCCTACAAAGTCCCATCAAAAGGGAGAAGCACAAACAAATAGACAAACACATTTTGCCCACATTAAACGGCTGTCCGCCATATGGACCTGAAAACTAAATTTCCCTGTACAAGAATACGGGGTTAAACCGTACGGGTTGACAGCTATTAGACTCTCACCTACGCTGGCTCATTACCCAGACACACAGCATTAGCCACCAACCGATCCGCCTCTCAGCGCTCATCCTTCTTACACATTCGAGAGCACAATTGTATTTTGAATGGGCTGAATTCTTTCGGTAAAGTCACGTAGAAGGGAAGTAATAAAATGATAAAAATAAAACATAATAAAATAATTCTCACGACGTTTCGGCCACAACGCAAGCAGCCGTCCTCAGGTGAAGACCTGGTCGTGAGAATTATTTTATTATGTTTTATTTTTATTATTTTATTACTTCCCTTCTACGTGACTTTACCAAAAGAACCAAGAAGAGGGCTCAATCCTCTTTGACAAGCACGGAATGGCACGGGGTGCTCCACGCTCACGTTTCAGGCCCTTCCGCAGGATGTGTTCGATGTTCTCACAGAAGGTGTTGAGCCCTGGGGTGGCATCGCTCACTGTTGGTGTACCCTGCTCCTGCAGGGTCAGCACGCTTCCTGAACACACACACACACACACGCGCACACACAACAACCGCCATTCGCCACTATGTGGCAGTGACGTCACCACGACGCTTGTGCCAGGCTGTGTGCACGTTGAGGCCTCGTGAAGTATCGAACGCCTGCCGACAGGAAGCCACGGGACAGACCCAGGTGCCATGGGTCGAGTGACTGAGATGACTGGCCGATGCACCACCTGTGCCCCCTACCGTGCCAACTTGCTGTATTTTAGCCACCCGGCGCTCCGCTCGTTGTTGCGAGCGTCACTTTTCTGCCCTCCGTTGTTGTTGGAGGGCGACAGCCTCCAGCTGCCCAGTCGCGTCCTTCACGAGCCTCCTCAATAGAGGCCGTTTTTGACACCGCTGGTACCAGTCATTGGTAAGTCCACTCAGCTCCACGTCCTCCTGTACCACACCACTCCATCTCTTCTCTAGCCCATGCCGCGCCTGTTTAGCCCCCTCTATCCGGCCGAACAAAAGCTATTTGGGCATGCGGTGGCTGGGCATGCGGTGGCTGGGCATGTGGGCTACATGACACGCACACACACGTACGCACGTACCCATAGATAAATAACCACCATATAGCCTTTAACAGACTGCTGGGGAAGAGTGCTGTTAACAGCATATATATATATACACACACAAAGATCCACCACATCATATTTACAGACTCCTGGGGCACATGCTGTTATCGAGGCCTGGCAAGCGAGTGATGTCGCCAGAATCACGCTCGCACACTCTGCCACCTTTGTCTCCTTCGCACGTATCTGGCATTTACACACTGCACCAGGTACTCGTGCTAAGGCCGAGTCGACCTAGGGGAGGCAGAGAACCAGCGCAAAGATGTCACCTATGCCAGCCGGGGCTGGGAAGCAAACTCAGTGGTGGAGTGGGTTTCGTGGCGCTGCGCGCTAACAACCGCTGCCCCACGACGACAAATTCCCCACCTCCAAGTTACTCCCGCAGCAGCAGCAGCAGCGCAAAGTCAGCAAATGAAGAGCGAAGGGCACATTCTCACGTGTCCTTCGAGAGCCGAGTCGCGTGCACGCCACGTGGGGGTGCACGATGCGTGACGTCACGCATAGTGACGTCACGCATCGTGCACCGCGCACGTGACGGGGCTGTCGCATTGCTCGCCAGACCCGTTCACTGAAGCTGCGCTCCCAGTCACAATGTCGGGAGGGGGGGGGGGGGCAAAGCTGTAATCGAATCTAATGAAACGATTAGCGATCACCTCTCGCCTCTCCTGTAAGATACTTGCCACAAATCGTCACCCAATGAAGCGGCTTATCGCGTGGAAATTGAGCGCAGCCAAATACTCTCAGACGCACGATTCTAAACGTGGAGGGAAACACCGGAGGACTCGGAGAAGAATCCACGCGACCACGGGCAGAGAGAGAGACACGCAATGGGGTCGTCCATAAATGACGTCACGCGATTTAAGACGATTTTTCACCCTCCCCCTCGTCACACGGCGTCACAAAAAGTCAGACCCCCCCCCCTCAAATATGACGTCACAAAGCTCTGCCCCCCCCCCCTCCAAAAATAAAACTTGCTTCAAATCGCTTTAAACTATTGTCATTGTAGTGCGTATTTAATGTGGCGCTGCACTCTGATGTTGTAGGAGAAAACATTTATTAAAAAGTATATTCAATTAAGTAGAACGTGTTGTCTATATTAATTAAAAGTTTCACATTTTGATGTGACGTCACATTTCTCAAACCCCCCCCCCCCCTCGTCACACATCGTCACAAATGTCTGACCGCCCCCTAGGTGCGTGACGTCATTTATGGACGGCCCCAAACTCCAAATATACAGCAGCAGGCGTCAGGGTCGTGATAGAACCCACGACCTCCTGTATACCAGGCGAGGTAGTGAACAGCCACCGTGATGATAATGAGAGAGAGAAACTCGCAAACTCCAAATATACAGCAGCAGGCGTCAGGGTCGGGATCGAACCCACGACCTCCTGTATACCGGGCGAGGTAGTCAACATCTCACAGCCACCGTGACGCCCCTAGAGGTCCGCAGCGTCGGTACTGGGCAGGTGTTCAATCTCACACGGCCTCGACATCAGCGGTTGTAATTCAACTCGACTGGCTCACTCCAGCCACCAGCTGCATCCATGTGCACACACGTGGCTCCAGCCGCACCGGTCTCAATACATCCTCCTAACACGGCTCCATCAAAGCCTCACCTGGCTCCATGCCTCACCTTGCCCCATGCTTCACCCGGCTGCGTCTCTCACCCTTCAACCCTCACCCGGCGCACCCCCCCTGCCCTGCCCGCGCGTGTTTCCACGCCGCACTCACGCTTCAGCTTCTGCAGCAGCGGCTCCCTCCGGGACATGGCTGTCCAGTGGCTGCTCAGTGGGCAGTGGCTGTCCAGTGGGCAGTGGCTGCCCCTCGGCTGGCCCGTGCGTCCTCTCTCTCCTCTCCCGCGGCGCGAGGAGCACCAGTCCCCTCGGCTGCGTCTCGGCGTCTCCACGCGCTCACCAAACACCCCGAGATGTCGGGGGGGGGGGGGGGCGGCAGAGAGGGGGGACCGAGAGGGGGGCCGAGAGGGGATGGTAGATGACTCGGGTGGGGGGGAGAGACAGACGACGCGGAGACCCGGATCGCCGACTACCGGGTGGTCACGGCGCCACCTGGTGGCCGGGGCCCGCACTGCGGCAGCTGCGGCTGCTGCCGGAAGACTCAAGCCCTCCCTCCCCCCCCATGTGGACATGCATGGGTTGTCTTGTGTTGGGGGTGAGATCGCGTAAATATATAAACGTGTACTCTGTGGTTCTTTCGGTAAAGTCACGTAGGTGAAAATAAAAATAATAATTTAAAAAGTGAAAATAACTAAATTAAATCACGACGTTTCGGGCGCAACACAACGTGACTTTACCGAAAGATATTCTTAGGTTTTTTCGGTAAAGTCACGTGGGTAAAAAAATAAAATTAAAATTAATAAAAGTAAAATTAAAATTAAATAAAAATCACAAGTAAGATACAGCTATCGTGCTGTGACAGTTCCACCTGAAGACGGAAGCTTGTGTTGCCTCCGAAACGTCGTGATTTTTATTTTATTTTTATTTTACTTTTATTAATTTTAATTTTTTACCTACGTGACTTTACCCAAAAAACCTAAGAATATGAATCCTTGCAGTCACGAAAGCTTCAAATCTAGAATTTACCGAAAGAACCAAAACTTCAAATCTAGAATATAAACGTGTGTCGTTAAGCCCACCACCACCCGACACGGACAATTAGTAAGGGTTGTCACGTAAACAGAACGTGCCAATGTCATGTGTGGTTTTTGACCATACTTCACCATGTTGGTGAAGGGGGGGGGGTGAAATCAAGGTAACCCAGAACTAGTTCAGATGCCAATCACCACTGATGTTAGTCGTGGCCAGGGATCAAACTCATGTAGCCTGGTGCTTAGTGTAGCGTGCCACCATTACACCCCTAAATAAATAATAGTATGATAAGTTATAGCAAATGAAACAGTGATGACACTAATTATCTCAATATCAAGATTTCAAACTCTGGTCGAGGTGAGGCCGATAAAGTGAGGAACACTTTGTGAGAAGTCAACAGTGATCCTCATGCAGGTGGATTTCGTACCTGCCATAGAAATGTGGAATTTCCACCACCAGCAAAGATGATCAACATTTTGACTTAAGTATTATTCACACACTGCGGATGTAATTCAGTGCATGTTCAATGTGCAGCCTCGATTGTAAGTAAACGCTACGGTGCTAAAGCGTTGCCTCTTCTCTGTCACACCCTCGCTGTTTCTGTGGCCACCACCTCCCAATGTAAAGAGACAGAACAGCAAATGTGCAGTGCCAGATTATCCTCGCAGCACAAGTAGCTACATGTGTAGTAGCTACTACATATATAGCCACTACATATGTAGTAGCTACATGTGTAGTAGCTACGGGCCCCGCACTTTCAAGGGCCCCGCTCTAAATGCTTTCAAGCTATCAATTCCAATTCAGTGATTCTGCACTTGCTCTATTACTATAGTACTATACTGCCTTCAACTTTTATGAACGACGTCTGGATGTTTAAGGTTAGCGATTTGTCGTATTATCTGGCTGTATAGCAAATGAAAAAATACAATTACTTTACTATGCAAGTAAAAAATGTGTGTTTAAATATTTATGTTTTGTTTATATTTAGGGCCCCTTTATAACATCATGCTACAAGCCCCGCACTGAGCTTCATCCGGCACTGCAAAGGTGTGAGTGTAAATGAGCTCCACCGGGAAATAAAATCAAGAGAGGGCGACTGGCAAGAGCGTGGGAAGACCCGATCGATGTAACGATATTACATGGACAATGGATTTCACATTTTCCGGCACAAAAACCGTTGAAGAGTTTGAGAGATAAAAAAATGACATCGTTATACATTGCAAAGCGCCCGGTGAAGGGCCATCTTCAAATCCGACATGGAACAACAGAATACGCCAAGCCACTCACTCGGCGTTGGAGCCATTAAGTCGAGCGAGTCAAATGATTTGTCGCCGAGCGCGTTTCCGCCCAAAGACGACGAGAGATGTCTAACAACATTCTGGCATATCGGCGTGCGTAATCTCTGCCGTATTCGCCAGTGGAGAGAGGTCGGAGTACGACTCCAGCCACACCCTGGAATGCCACCACACCCACTGCGACAATGCTGCGTGATACAGTATTCATACATACACACACACACATACAAAAATTCCAGATAATTGCATTGAGTCGTGCTGACATTTAAAGGCCCTTCAAGAGACGAGTGACAAAGTTCACACACGAAGTCAAACCTTAAACGCCGCACCCCTCGCAACTGTTCCAGCCTTTGCCACGTCGCCAGGCCCTGCTGCTGCTGCTGTGTTGTCACCACAGCCGTGTGTGTGTGTGAGATAAGACGAATTATCTCCGCTTCACTTGGGTGGATTAATGTTAATACAAACACAATGATCGTGGGCTTCCTTCTACAGTGTCCTGGGTGGCACGTTCAAAAATGCAAGCTCGTACACAACGAAGCGCAGAAAGTCCATAATACGTAGGTTCTCGCGACCAATATCATCCATAACAGGTGGACTTCGCAAATCTGGCTGTCGCCTGATGAAGCTGGTTGTAATTACTGGCGAAACGTCGCACTCAGATTGTAAATGTTGTGGCTCGGCTCTCAAACACACCGGTGTGCTGTACTAGTGACAAATTGGCCACGTTCTGTTTACGTGACAACCCTTACTAGTTGGCTGTGTGGGGTGGTGGTGGGTTTTAACGACACATTTATATATTTACGCGATCGAACCCCCCAAAAAACCTCTATTATGGATGGTATTGGTCGCGAAAGCCTACGTGTTAAACAAAACACAAACGACCACACCACTGAGATATTGAGTGATAATTTGCCATGTTGGAAATGCTCACAGTGAGGATGTAATATATAAAAATAATCCATCTTGGCCGCAAGTCAGGTGGATAAGCAGCAATCCATGAGGCGTCACGTGCCATTGTGGACAGGAAGGTTCACAGACAAGACGTTGACCTGTACTGTGTTCATGGCGAGCTGGAAATGTCTCCATTCTGCCTCTCCTGCTGTAACCCAAAGTTCATCATCCCACCTGTATTGATTGCCTCCGTCGCTCGCCAACGTTCTTTATAATTTGCTTAATCTCTCCCCCTATATTATGTATACCTTATCGTCTAGATAAACAAGTTGTGTCTACCGCCAAAACGCTGATGGCACGTGGGGCGTTGCGACATCGCAAAGCCCTGCAAAGCGTCTTCGTAAAATGTAGTCCTTTATGTAAGTGTCACGTTCATGTTCTGTAAATAAACGAGTAAACGGCATATACAATGTGACACAACGGAACACAGAACAGGCAAAGAAAGTGTAGTAATACGTAACATATTACTTTAGTGAAACGTTTAATGCCACATATCCGATAGCCATAACAACTGGCGCTTTGAGTTGCGGCCATGGCAGCGCGTTTCGAATGTCAACTTTTGTCAATTCGAGTTGGCCGTGAATTTAGGCCACGTCCTGAATTCTCTGGGCCTAATTTTACATCATGGGCTGCACTGAATTCCAGACATCAGGATTCAGGCGGAGAGAAACTACGTCACCACGCATATCAATTAAATACGTCTAGATATTAAATTAACATTTAACGTTACATATTTAATTAGATCAGCAACACGGATTATGCTAGTAGCAAAAGTAACTACTTATGCTACGGACCCCGCACTTTCAAGGGCCCCCGCGCTAAATGCTTTCATGCTATCAATTCCGGTTCAGTGATTTTGCACTTGCTCTATTACTATAGTATTATACTGCCTTAAACTTTTATGAACGACTGGGTGTTTAAGGTTAGCGATTTGTCGTATTTGGCTGTATAGCAAATGAAAAAATACAATTACTTTACTGTGCAAGTAACATTTTTACGTGTTTTAATATTTGTGTTTTTTTATATTTATGGCCTCTTTATAACATATGCTACAGGTCCCGCACTAGCTTAATCCTGCACTGCTTTTACTCGCAGATATATTTTGAACTGAACTTTTTTTCCTCCCCATATTAGGCCCACTACGCTATACAGCTCTTTTTCAGAAGCGACCTGCCCATAAATGATAGCCCAACGAAGTGGCTTATCACGTGGACATTTATAGCAGCTAAATTCTCTAAACGCGTGTTTTTAAATGTGGAGGGAAATGGTGGGAGGGCTTGGAGAAGAATCCACACGACCACGGAGAGGAGATGCAAACTGCAAATATACAGCAGGCGCCAGGGTTGGGGTTGGGTTTGAACCCACGACCTCCTGTATACCAGGCGAGGTAGTTAACATCTCACCATCACATGTATGAAAGTGTGCCGGGAATCATGCGCGCTTGCATATCGCTGTGCGCCACATTCATTTCTCGTAGCACGGTGGATAAACCTCTCCGTCCGCAGTTCTGTTAAAAGTTTATTTTAAATATACAGCAGGCGTCAGGGTCGGGATCAATCCCACGACCTCCTGTATACCAGGCGAGGTAGTTAACATCTCTCGCCACCGCGGCGCTTGACTGGAAAGTACATCTGGGAAGACCTGCCCATCCTTACATCGTGACTCCAGCAACCGAGCACATCACGAAAACATCACACCTTGTGTTTTGGGAAACTCAAATTCTGGAAAAAATCGAGGCAGCTCGGTCCACATAGTGTTGGCTGTGCCATGCAAACAATGTGACAGTCAAGCGTGTAAAGTAACATTTATAGAAGAAGAATGTCACATGTTGGATATCCCCCTGCCACCCTCCCCCCCTCCATGGTGCAGTGATATTGACAAATGTATTGCGGGTTCTTCTTATTTGTGTTTTGTGCACCACTATAACAAAAACAACCATTTATTGTTGCCAAATTCTGCAGTTCTAATTAGGGTTTAAAATCGCTCGGAAAGCACCATGTTCTTTTGAAAACGTTTATTTGTTTTTTTGCTTTACAACTTAAAAAATATTTCAAGCTTTTCTTTTGCAAATTGTAAAATGATTTTTTTTAAAGCATTAATACAGTAGTACCTTACCTTTAGGAATGCACAATATTTCAGAAATGTAATTTTAAACAAAAAAACCGCTATGTATTACAGTAAAAAAAAACATGCCAGTTTGCAGTAACACCAGTAAGTTTAACACAAATACAACACGATCGAAAGCAAGTGTATTTTGGGTAAAACAAGAATCGGGAGGACTTGACCAGCCCAATGAAAACTTTGACATTTTGCCAGTCTTTGTTTTTACTTCTACCACTACTACTACGGTACGACTACTCCAGTAAATGACATCCACTGCTGCCCTGTGAGCCATAGGAGAACGAAAAAATACACCACCATTGTACCATATGAAATGCTGGTATAAAAAAAAAGCATCGAACTGCAGCTCCTTGCTGTGTGTCACAGCCAACGCGTCAAAGGACAGGCGACCGAGGAGCACAGCGAATATCAACTACAGAAAAAACTGCGTTGTAGTGACCACAACACGGAATAGCAGTACTGTAATGGGCATCTCAACATACAATAACACACAGGTAAAGATGCGGCCCTGCGATTATCGGCTCACGCACCACTGCTGGCTGAAGGGCCTCCACTACAAGAAGGTTGAGAGGCCCTATCGATGGTTGTTGGCCTAGTCTTCCAATGCTGGCCAGACGTCTTGCAAGAGGTGGACGTACCCACACTTTGTTTCTCCACGTGACCTGCCCATTAACTGTGGCGTCACCCGTTTATACTGCTCGGTGGACAGAGGCGAGGGGGATTTAAGATACTCGCTTCATTGTTTCACCTGCCACGCCAGGAGATCGAACCGGCAAACCCCCCGATTGCAAATCGAGTGTGATAACCATGACACCACGGTAGCATTCTGGCGTACAATAATACTATGCGCTATCAGCACTTGGTGCCAATAACACACATAATACTTGCTGTGTACTTTATTTCCATTACACTTTGGATTTCCTTGCCCTTGATGTGAAAACGCAGATAATAGCCCACAGCACTTGAACGAAAAGTTCACAGCACTCATTGGTCAAGGCACTCATCTTGTGACCGAGATACAGGATTCAAAGCGTGTCCTCGTTTAGGCCCAAGCTACCGTCGCCACCCTCATAATTTAACACAATATGGACAGAGATCGCGTACAACAGTGGCGTGCTTCAGTCGTATATCGAACATTGGCGCTTAAAGAAATGGAACATTGGCGCTTAGAGAAATCACACAAAGTTGTTTGGGAGCCAAGAGGGTGCTGAGGGCGATCCATCCGAAACGTGCTCTGTCATTGCCAAGCATGGGTGGGTGGCAACTGTAGCCTCAACAGCTCGTCTTGTTTCACAATAAAGAAAAATATATATAATCCACACGCCTCAACTACGGAACATCCGTGCAGGCCACGTCATGTTCCAGCGGGTGTCTTGTAATGAAACCCTAACTGCTACTTGAAAGCGAAGCAGCAACACGAACTCGTGCTATTTTGTGTTGCTTATATCTGAGTTAAAAGCCATCGGCTTAATTATACCCGACACAGAAAAGGTCCATGTCATTATTATCAGGCGAAAGTGAACAAATTGCTGATGGGGTTGTTTTTGTTGCTAAATTTGTACAGTTCCTTAACAGTTTTACATCAATAAACGACCACTTCTGGAAATCAGGGCTTTTGTGTCCTTGTGTTGAGGTGAATGGAATCTATGCATCCTGCCAAACTGTTACTCCAAGGCAAGGTTTATCATCATCATCATCATGAATTATTCCCAATCATTTATTAAAGAATGTAAAGCAAAGAGCTTCACGGAGGGGCCTAACATTGACGGTGCTGAGATCGGTGAGATGGTGAATGCCATATGACTATTGCAAGAGGGAAGAAAATACTCTACAGTCTGCAGGAATTCGTGGCCACGACCACACATCGTGTTCACAAATGAGGAATGTGATGCTCTGTAGAATAAGGGATAAACAAGAGTAAGGACTGGCACAGGGCGTGTGTGACATTGTGATAATTCCTCATAAAAACAGCCTTTCGACACGGTCTACGTGGGCGAGTATCCCAACACCGCACAAAAATATCTGAGGCAAGATCTTTTGGTTCAAGAGTGCAGTACACGATGAATGGCAGAGGTTTGTGTTATTGTCTTGCTGTTAAATGCTATTAACTTACAAATCCAGCCGTTATCATGTCGATGCCAATGGGGCATTTTGTAACCGTCCAATTACAGGGGGTAAAATGGCCGGGTTCCATGTTTGAGGCACGCGCTCAAGTTGTTCAACAAACTCGCGCGGTTACAAATGTAGTTTGTAAACAACTTGACCAGGTCTCTCTCCTGCGTGAGTTACCAGGCTCGTGACATCTACCCATGCCGTTCACAGTGTTGATTTCTCAAGGACAGCCATGAGACACACCAAGCCCCATTCGGAAATAGTGGCCCAATGAGGTGTCAGTATTTCTTTGTAAATTGTACAAGTAGTAAGAGTATGAAGCTTTCGTACCATTATGTACGCTTCTTAAGCTCTTGAAGTAACACATATTGTTCCAAGAATATTATATATATAGAAATGTATTATTGATTTCTGGACCTTATTATGAGTGCTATGCATCTTCCACAATGTTCGTTTGGCACTAGAATTACCTTAAAAAGTCAAAACGTGGTGAACTACAAAGCCATTTCATAGTGAGCGTTCTTCACAAAGGCACTAAAGGTTTGTAAAATATTCAATTAGGTCTCACAGGCAAGACGCAGCATGCGAACCTATGAAATGTCGTCTTGTTCTCACGAATAATTCGCCACGGATCGTAGCGGAGGGCTTTTTTGAAGCAGCAATGAAAATGCTGTGGAATTAACCGCGTGCCCTGTCGGGCCCTGTCCTGCGTCCGCCTCTCATGTGCACGCTGCTGTCACACACAGCGGCCCTGTCAGCCCACGACGACCACCGCTCACGTAAAGTGCACACAAGCCTACGAGAAGCACAGCCAAGCAAACCTCTAGTGTAAGCCCCCAGACAGCTACTGTAGAACTTGCATTTTGTAACGTCTATGGATAACAAGGCATCGTTAGTAAGACTCGATTATTTGTTCGATAAAATTCCATAAATGTTATATTTACTTTCTTAAAAAACGCGATAAAATAACGTAAAAACCCCAACAAAAAACGGAAAAGAACAAGCAAATATTAAAGAAAATATAAGAGCTTGTATGGGTCGAAAACCCGCATGCATGAAACAATAACCACCGCTGTACTGCATTCGCGTCATTATCAACAATTACCGCGCACTGGAAACAAGAGGACTTGGCTTTGTGACATCTGAAAAATATCAAACACCAACACGGAGTCGCAAAGATACACACGGGCCGACGCTGCTATTCAATTTTTGTAGATGCAAGCTCATTCCAACCAGTGCTGGCGTGCATGAATGAGGAAGGGATGTGCGTGCGAGTGTGCGTGCGTGCGTGCGTCGGGAGTTCAGGGGTCGTCAGTGTTCGCCCCCTAGAACCTCATTTCCCCCTGCTTGGACACGGTGCCCGAGTCCATTTTGGTTGTCTTGGTGACGGTGGTGACCTTCTTGGTGATGATGCCTGTCTGACCCACCATCTGCGTTACACCTGCGGCCAGGAACAGAGAACAGAAGTCATTACGTGTCACACCACGAGCAGTGCTCGCCACAAATGAATCACCACGCCTTGCCGATCTCGTCAAGGAACGGCGACGGCTTTTGGCTGCTGCCATCGAACAAAGACGGCGGTCCCCGCACCACGCGGTGCTTTCAGATGCGCTTCTACGGCCGTCTGGAACGCTCTTCCCTTCCGATATTAGGCAGCCACTGGAGCTGTGCACTTTTAAATCATCATCATCATCATCATCTCGATTGACAACTCATTTCTTTAGACCTGCTTTCTGTGTTAAGTTTGTTATTCTTCCCCCAACACCATCGATTACCACGGTTGGCTACGTACGGTGCGAAAGAAGTTCAACACACGTACGTACGTGTGTTTGCTTGGTGTTTCCTGTTTATTTCAACAATTGCTCCAGGCATCCGAGTGGTAACTCCAACCTCCTAATGTTTCACGATTTTACCATCTCGCTGCCACCCACCTCCGCTCGCTGTCAGCTGTTGTGCGATATTGTATGGGTCAGCGATGTGTATGTTGTATTAAGGGTGTTGGCTATGTGTGTTGTGGTGTATGTATTGGTCGGTCGTGTTGTTTGCTGTCAGCTACGTGTGTTATAGTTTGGCTTGGCTGTGTCTGCCGTATCGTCAGTATTAGCCATGTGTATGTTACACTGTGTGGTTTTGGCCGTGTGAGGAGTAGGGGTGTAGTGGTTAGCGCCCTGCGCTACGAACCCGGCGACCCGACTTCGATTCCTGCTCACGGCCAACACCAGTTACAATTATCTGAACCGGTCCTGGGCCTCTCCTAGGTCGACTCAGCCTTAAAACGAGTACCAGACGCGGTGTGGAAACATCGCGACGAGGGAGACAAAGGTGGCCGGGCGTGGTGCTGGCCAACAACACCCTAGTATGCTGTGTTGGCCTTCATAGGTTGTTGCTAACAGCACTTTGTTTGTCAAGGCTATATGGGGGATCTTTGTCTTTGTTGACTGTGCACATCATGAAGCATGTGAGGTTTGGCTACGTGTGTTGTGTTGTATTATGTGGGTAAGCTAAATGTGTGCCCCAAGTTCAGTCTGTTCTCCTATAACACCGCGCGTTGTTCTCGTGATGCGAATTGAATACAACGCGATTGAGTGAACGGAACTACGACGCGCCAGTAGGAGTATGCGGCCGTGCGGCTGCCTCGGCGTAGCATCATCGCACAGGGCGGGATGCTGCTGGATGCTTCTCGATGCTACCCACGCACCTCAGTCTTTGTTCAGCCTGCGTACGCACCGCACGTGTTAGTGCAGACCGTGCTTTGCCCCTATATAATAGACTAGCTTTACTACCCGCATTCGCCCGGGACTTGGATTCACCACACCCAGCCGCCTTTGTCTCCCCAGTGGCGATGTTCACACACCACACCAGTTACTTGTTTGAGGCTGAGTCGACCTAGGGGAGGCCCAGGACCGGTTGAAATAATCGTCACCGGTGGTGGCCGTGAGCAGGAATCAAACTCGGGTCGCCAGGTTCATAGCGCAGCGCGCTAAGCACTACCACTACGCGCGGGTCACGTGACAGATGTGACGTCACAGCTCACTTGCCGTGCAAAATATATGCATTATTGCGCCCCCCTCTCCCCCAAATTTTTTTTTACCAAAGTAATTTTTTTTTATTTTTGCATGGTGTACAGTCTGGAAAGTACCCACATGGCAAATTTCAAGTTTGCTGCATGTCGGGAAGTACGCTAAACATTTTTAACAGACACACATATTCACAAATTTCCCTTTTTGATATATATAGATGACTTATTATAACGGCGAATTTTCCATAAAGTGGTGCTCTTCAGGAAGGCAAATACCACCGTTACAGGCGAACAGACTGCACTGGTCAGTGCCGCGTGTGCCTCGTACCCATGATTCCTTGCATCATGTCCCCAGGGAAGTCGAACACCTCGCTCTGCATGCTGCTGGACTGGGAGACAAACTGCTGGGAGGAAGCCGGGTGCATCATCACGTCCATCCCGCCGGAGAAGTCCTGCTGGAAACCTGAACACACGAGAGAACGCGTGACTCGCCACCGCTTCTTAACTAACTCATGTGGGGGTCTGCCTTCCTGGATCTTATTTCACCACTCATTCCTATCCTGGTCCATCTCCACGTCCACTCCACAGTAACTTCACATTCCGGTTTACAACTTTTGAACCGCCTCTTTCTAGACTTGCCCTCTCAGTCTTCGCCCCGATGCTTCCAAATAGTTCATCGCAATACTTCCGTTGCGGTCTTCCTCACTACTTACAACGTGTCCCCCCCCCCCCCCCCAAAACCATCCGAGTTGATATTTTTTCAGTTTGTCTCTGAGATGGGCGGTACTACTCTGGCCTTCATTTCTGACCTGATCGAGTCTTGTAATCCCACGCAGATTCACCTCGCCGTCCTCATGTTTGTGATGCACAACATCTCTCTGTTCCTCCCTGGTTTTTAGCAACTGAAGTACTGCGCAAGCTTTAACAAAGGCTTGAAATGTAAGTGGAAGTGCCTTACATCTGTCGAACCTCTTTGAATTGCCCAAACTTAACACGTGAAGCAAAGAATGTGAATATTGCATAAAGTGAGGAATAGATTTGCATGCAGAGGGCAGTGTTTAGAACCTGGGTCTCGATTTGGGTTTCAGTCACCCGCGAATAAACCAGGTTCTTGAGTTTTAAGTGCGCTGATTGTCTTAGCCCAGTCGTTAACGACTGCACAGAACCCCCATGATGTTAAGGTTAGTTTTTCAAATCAAGTTTGTTAGTTTTTCACTTTCACTAAATTCCGGTTTTGAGAATTGAAGGAGTAAAACAGTTCAGCACCACCTCGTGCGTAGATACAAAGGGAACATGTAACTCAAAGGGATTTCGGAGGTAGTTCTGTGATATCTTCTTCTCCGGGCCATTCTCTTACACGGTGTGGTGCAGTGTCCTAGGAGAATTCCGAATGGACGCTTTGCTTTGTCACGTGATACTGACAGCAATATTAAAATAAAAATTGAGAAAATGGCAACTTTAAAGCCTTTTGTTGCTACAAAAAAATCTATAATTTTAAAAATGAGAGAATTATTTAGAAAACAACTATGTAGTAGACAACACGCATGTACATACTCATGTTTGCTATCACGTATGTGAATGCATGTGAGCGTGCTACGTGAGTGAGCGTGCGTGTCAAAGCGAGTGGGTTTTTCGCGCGTGGGCTGCCGAGCAGTACCGTTCTGAGACTCGATGGTGATGATGCCCTCTCTCTCGGGCCCGTAGCCCTGGCTCGTCTTGGTCTTCACTTTGAACTTGTAGGGCACGTTCTCCAGGAGGTCATTCACCACCAGGCTCGTCTCATCCTGGTCGTCGATGGTGAAGATGCGTGGCTCGCCCACGCTGCCCGCTGATAACATAAATACACAGATAAAGATCCCCCGTGTGTATCGTACATCGGCTGTTTTGAGCGAGTGCGTTTAATCAGCGCCTATGAAGGGCAGCACGGTGCACCAGGGGGTGCTGTGGCCAGCACAATGCCTGGATACACATTTTTTCGCCTCCCCAGTGTCGATGTTTACGCACCGCACCAAGTACTCAATTAAGGCTGAGTCAACCTCGGGGAGAATCAGGATCAGTTGAGATAATTCGCCACTGATGTTGGCCGTGAGAGCTCACAAACGCACAAACGCGCACTCCGAGCGACAGGTGCTGCATTGGAGATGCAGACTGGAGATGGATGAAATCAACTAGCTCAAGGGGGCAGACGCGACGTGGATTTTACATCGGAAGGCCGGCAGAGGCGGTGAAGCCTTCATTCAAGCGGCGGACGGACGACGGCGAGGGCGACGCCGGCGAACGCGAGCGATGGTGCCTTGCGTTGCGTGAATGCAAAACGTGCGGATGCAGCGCGGGCAATGAACGGCGAGCGTCAGGGTTTCACCGACCGATGGGGTGGACGGGCTCGCAGGACACCACGTAGCCCTGGATGGGCCCCTGGGGCTTCATCGGCTTCTCCCACTTGAGCTGCAGCGAGGACGGGGTGAGCGCCGTGAACACCAGCGGGCCCGGCGCGTTGGGCGTGCTCAGCGTGAATGGTGAGCCTGCACGCATCCACGCACGCACGCACGCACGTGGTGCACGTGCAAAAATTGTTGTTCATCATTTATTTCCACCTCCCCCCCCTCACATTTATTTGTAATTTCAATCGCGCTATCGGTGTTGTGTCGTGAGATGTTTGTGTGTTTTTTTATTTAGATTTTTCTGGGCAGATGATGGTCCCGTTTAGCCGACTGCCCGGCTACTTTACAAGGGAGGTCCGTGGTGCGTTAGCACGGCAGTAGCAATAACAACACAAACACCAAAACGTCAGTATCCTGTAAATTGCACAATTAACAGGCGAGGTATTTAACGGCCATGAATTAAACACAAAGGGAAAAAAACTGTGCAAATATAATATGAGAGCAAGAAGTGTCACTCAAAGCTAGGGACAGGTGCAAGTCAACTCTGCGTTTTTGGTCTAACAGTGACATATGAACATACGCGAATTGAAAAGGAAACAGTGCAAACACTGTCAGAGTGACAAGGTACCGTTACACAGGTGAGCTCACCTGTCAGGTGAGCTGATCTGCAAGGTGAGCTCACCTGTGCGGTGAGTCGATACGTGAGGCCGGCCTACCTGGAATGGGGATGTGCGGGCTCGCCGGGTTGACCTGCGACTCGATGGTGATGACGCCCTCGCGCTCCTGGGCCCCAACCCTTGTCGCTGCACGCCATCACCTTGAAGAGGTACGCCTCGTTGGGCAGCAGCTGGTCCACCGTGACGGTCACCTGGTTGGGATCGGCGATCTCCACATTCCGCGGGGAGCCTGCAAAATAAATTAGAAATTTTACTTTCTATTTTAATTTTACCAGCTTAGGCCCCACTGAGCCATACTGGCTCTTTTTCAGAAGCGACCTGGTCATCACAAATGATAGCGCAATGAGGTGGCTTATTGCGTGCACATTGATAGCAGCCAAATACTCTGAACGCACGTCGATTCTAAATGTGGGTGGGCAAATCCACACGGCCACGGGGAGAACATGCAAATGCCAGATATACAGCAGGCGTTCAGGGTCTGGATCGACTCAAAATACCATTTTTTTTGTCATAAATGTGGACGGCCGTTATGTCTCTTAGCCACGTCTAGAAATGATGATGATGATGATGTCCGAACACCCACGACGTTAACGGTTGGGACACCCTTGCCGTTAGTCTGTCTCAATCGTGGAACTGCTCTTGCACTAGGTTATCTACGTACGTATGTATGTTGAACTTCTTTTGCACCGTACATAGCCAACCACGCTAGTCGGAGGTGGGGCTGAAAGGACAACAAACTAAACACAAAAACTGTTTGAAAGAATTGAGTCTTCCATCTATGTGAGTCTGTGGTTTGCTGTGTGAGTCTATGGGTCTCTATGCGTGTATGTTGAACTTCTTTCGCACCGTATGTTGCCAACCGCGCCAATCGGAGGTGTGGGGAAAAAGAACAACAAACTAAGCACAATATAAACCAGCTCTACAGAAATGAGTTTTTAATCTCGATTTGAAAGTGCATAGCTCCCAGTGAGGTTCATAAAACAACATGGCCGTCGCCGACCGCCGTGGTGAGCTTGCAGAGAGGGCGGTGTCGCCGGTGCGGGCGCCCACCTCCCGAGAGGGACTGGTAGGTCACGCGGTAGCCCATCACTTGGGTGTCGCTCTGCGGCTTCTGCCAGTTGACGCGGAGGGACGTGGGGCCCGTGGCCGAGAAGACGAGGCGGCCGGGAGCCTCGGGGATTCCGGGCGTGCCCAGAATGGCGGGGCTGCGGGGAGAGGCTGCGGCACCGGGAAGAAAAACACACAAAAGACAAGGATCCCCCGTCTAGCCTGAACAGACTGTTGGGGCAGGTGCTGTTAGTGAGCACCTATGAAAGGCCGGCACGGCACACGAGGGGGTGTGTGGCGAGCACCACTCCCGGCCACCTTCGCCTCCTAGTAGCGACGTTTATGTGCCCTCGAAAGAGTGTCCGCTGCATGTCAATCGAGCTTCATTCTCACAGGTGGACTAAACCAAATAAAGTGCCAAATCAAATGTGACACGATGCTCTGTGCAGCCATTGGTGACCAGGATCAGACCATCAAATCACTGCAACTTGAGCACCCAATTTAATCGCAGGTGGTTGAAACGCAGATTTGGTCCCAGAATCTCATCGGTGGCGACTCAAGTGTCTCTGAACCCTGGGTCCACCTGTCCACCCCATGCACTGGAACTTTACACACGCACACAAGGCTTTAGAAGCATTGTCTTACGTTGTGCTCAATCCAATGTGATACACATTACTTATCACCAAGCCCACACAAGATCCCCACTACCGTCGTGTTCACAGTCGCGCTTCGATTGGTGGTGACCTTTGTGACAAAATAAAGATCCTGCGATTGTGCAATTAGAAATGTCAGCACAGCAATACATTATGACTCTTCACCTAAACGGCCCATTAAATTATTATGAGCACCGCATGTGCCAAGAGAGGCCTCGCGTGTTGATTAACTGCGCATAACGAACATGAGGTTATACATCAGAATTGATTGGCATCGAAAGAAGACCCCATTTGGCAAGAGTTCAGAGTCTTAAACGTGTCCGTCAACTAGGTGCGGAACGATGCATCGATTCATTGATGAATTCCCGGTGTTTAAGATTAATCTTTGAATATTCATTTTTAAGATACGTGCTCTGAATTTCACGTGTTCAAATCTGTGCTGTGCAATTCTGGTAAGCAGCATGTGATGCAGGTTAACACCGCCCCTGCAGCCGCAGTGTGACAGAATAATCAAACGATAGCGACAATTCATTGTATTGCCGGGGGCGATGAATCATTCCACACTGACATTTAAGGACCCAGCCATTAAGTATTGAATTAATTAATTAATTGGTTTCAAAGCGATGCATTTTCTATTATGCAAAAACAAGCAGAAGCAGAACTGTTTAACACGGAGGCTTTCATGACCAATATCATCCAATATCATCCATAATACAGTTTTTTTGGGGTTAGATTACTAATTGGCGGTGTCGGGTGGTGCCGGGTTTAACGACACATTGATATTTACATGATCTAACCCAAAAAAAAACCTGTATTATAGTTAATAGAGTTAGTCACGCTGATTATGCTTCTCAACTGACTCATGGAATTGTTATTATCGCTACGTTACGCAAAAGCATGTTAGCAAAAATGAAGACGGTCATCGGAGAAAAAAAGAAATCATTCGCAAGGGGCGGTGCTGATTTGCGAAGCGTACAAAAGTGGAGTCCTGCAATGCAAAAGCGCGGTGAGCTAAAGCCGTCAGGGGACGATGTCGGGTCTCCCTCCGCCATGACAAAGCCACCAAAGCTCTCGCTCATCCGGGCTGAAAGGCAAAGTGTGACCGTCGTCATTCCGCCAGCACTCCCTCACCGCTGTCAAAATCATCGTACGGCTTGATCACGCAGCAGCAAAGCGTCTTGGGGGAAAGGGGAAGGAGGGGGGGGGGGGGTTGGTGGGATGGGGGCAGAGGACGTACGCTGCAGGGCTAAGTCCAGCTGGTGCAGCACCTCCTGCGCCTCCTCCGACTGCGTGCGGTTGCGCGAGCCGGTCATCGACACGCCCGCCCCGTGGCCTGCCGGGGTGCAAACGCAAAGCACGTTCAGCTCCCGTGAACCCTCGCGACCTCCCAGGCGCCGCGGTGACCTTCGCAAACGCCGCCGCAAAGCTCGCTCGGAGTGCAGGAGGTGGGGGAGGGAGGGGGTCGATTAACGGGAGCTCCTCCGTGTGGGGTGGGGAGGGGGGGGGACGGACGGACGTTGTAGGGGGCATCGCGTGAGGACGCGCGAGCGCCTGGGAGGTGAGACCGTCGGGAGGGACGTCAAAGTCTGGCACTCACTCCCCCCAGGCGCCCGTGCTGTTGACTACCCGCCCCCCTTTGAAGGCCACACTCGGCAATCTCCAATATGCTCCTCTGCCCATCACTGACTGCCTCGACAACACCTCGATATGGAGTCGCATTTCGATATTTAATATATGATACATATTAATATACATTTTATTGCGCCGCACAACGCGGCCAGCGTTAAGGGAATTTGGCCAAACATTCCAATGCAGGGGCCTCCTGAATCGTAGACTTGAGACTTTTTTCTCCGTGCGTCAAGGGAACGACTCTTATTGGGGGGAGCGGTGGCACAGTAGTTAGCGCACTGCGTGATGAAGCCGGCAACCTGAGTTCGATTCCCAGCCACGGCTAACATCAGCGGTGAGTGATATCTGAACCGATCCTGCTTCCACCGCCCACCACACCACTCAGCCCTCACCAATGTGTACTGACGATGAAGTATGGTCAAACGACCCCCATAACCGACACGACGTGGCGAGGCCTTCAACGGGTTACCTCTCTATACTACCTTCACATATGCTTTGCATTACCCCGGTCGTTACCCCAGAAACAAATAAACAGTTGACCGTACACACCATCGACAATTTGGACAATCGGTAGAAAATTTCATTCACACGGGCAGATTTCTGATTTAGGAAGCAAATGCAAGAATCACTTTTGCAATCGTATTCCACCACCCCTTGATTTTCATTCAATCGCGTTTCAGTTGCGGATCCCCCGGCAAAATCGGCCGAAATCCAGCGATTGGGCCCCCGATTGGTCAGCGCAATTAGGCCCGGTGGTGCCGTGTTGGAGCGACTACTCGTCTGCTGCAGGCTGTGGTAGGACACCGCTGACTCGTGCAGCACAGTGGACACTTGGCTAGCTGAAGTCTCCATGACGACGCTCCCTAGCTCCCGCGCGTCCAGCTCGTCGTAGCTTGAGGCTCCGCGCTGGCTCCAAGTGCCGGTCGTGAAATCTGACCGAGTCGCATTCGCCGTTCGGTCAAAGCAGGATTATTTATTCTCCCGCAAGAGACTCCCACCGTGCACTGTGTATGGGCCCACACGTCGGTTCATTTACAGACCATGGGAATGTAATACGGTGTTCCCTCGTTAGTCGCGAACTTGCTATCCGCGATTTTGGCTATCCACGCAAAGCATCTGGAACGCTACATGACCGCATTTATAAAAAAGTTTTTTTTACTACTTAAATATTTGTTATTTATTAAATGCACGTGCATTTTTACTTTTTAGTGTTATGATAATTTTCATGTATTTAATAGCTTATTTACATATTTCTTTAAGGTAATTCGTTAAAAAGATTTTCACAAGCCGATATCATTATCCACAAAATTAGCTCTTCACGAGCATCTCCAGAACGGACCCCTTTCGAATAACGAAGGGAACACTGTGCACAGGGTGACTACAAATGTATCATCCGTCAATAAAGAGTTATTATCAAACAGCAGGTCGAGCGGTGAGGTGGATAAAATGATACACACATTGCATGGGCTGGGCCGTGTGCAGAGTCCACCATTTTATCGCGGGCGTTTCACCCCTCTAAACCTCCGCACGTCAATCGTGGATGACTCGGTGACGTGCGACTGCCTCGCACTCGAGAAGCAACGAGGTTGCAGCGTTCATCGTCGGATGTCGCGCAACACTCGCAGAAGAGAATAAGGTTGCGTGCAATCAAGGAAGCAGCACCGTTTCGTTTCTGCTCAACCACTCTGGCCGTCTTTGCCCCCCCCCCCCCCACCCCAATAGAGGAGGGGCCCAGGCCTACTCAAAGGCATTTGGGGAGGCTTGGGAGCAAAATGTCAGATGAGGATCCCCCCCCGAAAGCTTCTTTAGGCCTCTGTAAGGCTCCCACAGACCTGAGGCCTGGGATTAACGCCCAACCTGCGAGCCCCCACCCCGAGGCCCGGAGGAAGGCCAGCATTGGGCGACGTGTCCGTTTGCCGCCCGTCTTGTACGCTGTGCGTAGCGGATCGTCCTATGCTTGAGGCAGCTGTTGTTCTTGGAGATCTTCCCGGGGACATTGTGGAACAGCAACACAATCACTCAAGACAACGACTGTTACGTGTGAGTCTCCCCTCGTCCAGTGCGGTAAACATATCCCTCTTCTTTTCACGACAACGTCCTGAAACTTTGTGCCCCTCTGTGAAATCCGAGCGCGTCGCTCGCTCACCCGCCCGCCCCGACTCACCCCAGCCGTAGGCGTCGCCGAGCGTTGAGGAGCCACCGTGCGTGCTCCGCGTGAGCGTGTGCATGTGCTGCGAGCCGCCCGACATGCCCGGCAGCTCCAGCGTGCCCAGCATGGTCTGGTGGTGGTGGCTCTGGTGGATCGTCGTGCTCGTGGTCATCGAACTGCCGCCTGTTGGCACGTGGGGAGGAGGCGAAACGCGTGGCGAGTTTGGGCGACGTCGCCGGCCACGCCGACGTGAAGGGGTCGGGGAGAGACACGGCGGAGGCGGTGGTCCCGTGGCACAGAGGTCAGAGCCCCTGGGTTCAAATCCCAATTGTGCCGTCGGCATTGTGTCAAGAGATGGCGGTTGGCGCGCTGCACGACCGAAAATTCGGCGACCCGAGTTCGATTCCCGCTCACGGCCAACAGCGGTGACGGTTATCTGAACCGGTCATGGGCTTCCCCGAGGTCGACTCAGCCTCAAATGAGTACCCGGTGCGGTGTGTAGTAAACATCGCCACAAAGGAGACAAAGGTGATCAGGCGTGGCGCTGGCCACCCACCCCCTCGTGTACCGTGCCGGCCTTCATAGGTGCTCGCTAACGGCACTTGCCCCAACGGTCTGTTAACGTTACACGGGGGATCTTTGCCTTTGTCACCTGTCTGGCCCTGCTTCGAGGGCAGCGTATGGTAGCTGTAGGAGTCGTCGGAGGTGCTGGGCAGCGCCTTGCCGCCGCCCTCCATGGCGCCGTACATGTAGAAGCCCGCGTAGTCGTCGGGGCCCTGGGCGTCCACGATGGGCACGTCCGGGATGATGGGGACTGCGGGGGGGCACAGCGCTCGGTCATGCGGCGCAGAGGGGGGCAGTGCGGGGGGACAGGGGAACAGGGGGTGCGGGTGGGCGATGGGGTGGAGGGGTGGAGGGGGTGGGTGGGCTAGCTACCCCTGCACCAGGGATGGGTGAGCAAAGAGACTTTAGCAAGGGGGCCACATTGTTCGGTCGAGTCGATGTTTTAAATCCTTAGAGCTGCAGTTTAGTCACATCGAGTGCGGAACCTGAGAAGCCGCTTTGAATCAACGCACAGTCTCGGTGAGCGCCCGGTTCTCCACGTGAGTCTGTGGATCTCTGCCCGGTAAAAGTCGTCGCCGGTGACCGGGCTGACACCGTCAACTCACTGCGCTTGAGAACCCGGCTCAATCCCAACCCCCACACCCTCCACCACTCGGCAGACTGCAGTGGGGTGGGGTGCGTCGGGTGAACAAGAGACATTACAGCCACGTCGCCCGTTGCCTTCATTGCCACCGCACGGCAACATCAACGCGCCGCCGCCGCCGCCGTGGCGTTCCCAGGCGAGCGAGCCGCTGGCGCCGGGGCTCACTCACTGGAGAGGGGCCGCGTGGACTGGTTGGCGATGTTCAAGGTGGATTCGCGTGGCGGCCCCCAGCCGGCGCTGTTGCGCGCCCGCACCAGGTAGCGGTACGGCACCATGGGCCGCAGGTTCTCGATGAGCATCACGCGCCGCTTGTTGCCCTGCACCTCCACGCGCTTGGTCTGCCCGATGGAGCCTGCAACAACAGACGACCGTGCTGCTATGAAACGTTATCCACACTGCTGTGCGCTGTCGAATGTGCGCTGTGCACTACTACCGCATATGCTATGCGCTATGGACTGTGCACGAACGGACTACGCAATATGCGCTGTGCTATACGTTAAACATTATGTGTGATGTGACATGATGCAATATGCATTGTGTAATGTGCAATATGCGCTACGCACTACATGCACTATCCACTATCCACTCTGCACCGCGTGCTCTGTCCTATACACTCTCCACTATACGCTGTCCGCTATGTACCGCGCAGCGTGCGCCGACGCACCACGTGATACGCCGCAGCGTGCCCGGTGCGCTCTGCGGTGTTGCGGTTGGCGGGGGGGAGGGGGGGCGGTGGGGGGGGGCTCACGTCCGTCCTCGCTGATGGGCGTGTACGACGCCTCGTAGCCCGTGATGAGGCCGTTGGTCTCGGGCGGCTCCCCCCAGCTCAGCTGCAGCGTGGTGGCCGACACGATGGTGAAGGCCAGGCGGCCCGGCTCACCCGGAACTGCACGCGCACGCGGGTGGCACACACGTGCGTTTGTACACGTGCGTTTGTACACGTGCGTTTGTACACGTGCAAAGGTCAAGATGTTTCCCACCTCCCCGTCCCCCGCTCGTGTAACCTGAAGAGACTTTTTTGGAGCAAGTGCTGTTGGCGGGCGCCCATGAAGGACAGAGTGGCACACAAGAGGGTGGGCAGCATCACACACGACCGCCTTTGTCTCCCCAGTATCGATGCTTTTTTTACACACCGTCCTAGGTACTAATTTGAGGCCGAGTCGACCTAGGGGAGGCCAAGGAACAGTTCAGATAATCGTCACCGGTGTTGGCCGTGAGCGGGAACCGAACTCGGGTCTCCAGGTTTGTAGCACAGCACACACACACATATCAGAATCAGAATCTTTATTTATACTGGAGGGAGGAATCTGATGAGCTATGAAGCTCTTTTTCTCGGATGTCCAGTGGGGGCGGGTCAGCAATTTACTTGCCCAAACACACACGAACGCACGCACGCACACACGAACTGTACATACATACATACACATATATCAGATAGAACTGGTGGCTCTGATGGACGTAACATATCCCACGGATCTCACAGATCAGCTGACCACCGGTTCCACGGGCAGCCTCACCTTCCTCAAGCGTGCGGCAGGTCACCACTTCCGACGCGGGCCCCAGGCCGCGTGGGGTGATGGCGTAGACGCACATCAGGTAGTCGCAGTACGCGTAGAGGCTCGTGAGCTGCACCTCCGTCGTCTTGGTCTCTACTAGCTGCCCGTCGCCCTCGTCCTCCCCGTCGATCCAGTAGCGAACCTGCGCGGCCACCGAGTCAGAGCGTGACGCTCCTGCGCGCTGTCGGAGCGGATCTCTCGCGTTCGCTCGCGAACGGCGCGCGGCACAACGCGATGAGACGTCGAAGAGATGGCCGTCGTCATCAACATCGTCGTCGTCATCGCGATCTATGGGCAGGTAGCCGCGTAGGTGTCCACTGCACATTTTGTCATTTGTTTCCACCGTAAGTAGCCTCCTCCAGTCACAAGCCTCGAGCATCTCGGGCAGCGGGTGGATGGGTCAGGCTTGTGATGGATTTAGTTTCATGCAATTTTGTATGCAGCTTTTTACTGCTTATGCCAATTGACTAAACGAGATTGAACAGATGAGACAATGCATTGTGGGAAATAACGTATTACGTCGTCATTTTACCCACAGGTCGGTGTTACCTGTATGTATCTGTAAAACACATGTTTGTATGAAGTGCCGGATTAAGCTAGTGCGGGGCCTGTAGCATATGTTATAAAGGGGCCCTAAAATTAATATATATACATTAAAAAACAAATTTTTCACTTTCACAGTAAAGTAATTGTATTGTTTCATTTGATATACAGCCAGAAAATACGACAAATCGCTAACCTTAAACAACCAGCTGTTCATAAAAGTTGAAAGCAGTATAGTATTATAGTAATAAAGCAAGTGTAGAATCACTGAACCGGAATTGATAGCTTGAAAGCATTTAGCGCGGGGCCCTTGAAAGTGCAGGACCCGTATCATATGCTACTTTTGCTACACGGATAATCTGGCACTTGTATGTATTGTACGTTGAACTTCTTTCGTACCATACATAGCCAACCGTGATAATCGGAGGGGAAGGACAACAAGCTGCACACAAACAGCCGTTCCGCACCTTCAGGGGTCGGCAACCTACGGCTCCGGAGCCGCATGCGGCTCTTTACGGGTTGCTTCTTGACCATATGTACGTATGTACAGTATGCATTGCGGCTCTTGAAATATTGAATTTTGTACCGAATTGGAAAGAAATGGCTCTTCTTGTTATTTTGGTTGCCGACCCCTGCGCACCTTGTATCCGTTAACGGTGGCTCCGGGCGGTGGCGTCCAGTTGATACGGATCGTTTTCCCATTCAGAGCCTCGGCCTCCACGTCCCCCGGGCCGGACATGTCCATGTGCGACTTCTGCATGCTGTCCGGCACGATGACTTCTGCGGCACACGCGCCCAGCGCACAGCTCAGTGCCCGCCCAGCGCAAACACAGCATCCGGCGCTGAGATTTCACAGCAACAACCGCTGTGCACAAAAACCTGCTCTGTGTAACAACCTGGTCTATGTAACGACGGTCCTGTCCAACGTAGCCTTGCACAACAACACCTGGCTTGTACAACACCAGTCCAATGTAACACTTAGCTTGTACAGTACCTGGCCTGCACAACTCGCTGCGGTGGTGAGATGCTATCGCCCTCGCCTGGTATGCAGGAGTCCGTGGGTTCCATCCCGACCCTGACGCCTGTATATTTCGAGTTTCCATGTTGTCCCCGTGGTCGCGTGGATTTTTCTCTGGGTCCTCTGGTTTTTCCTTCCACATTTAGAATCAACGTGCGTTTAGCGTTTCTGGCTGCTATAAATATCCACGTGCTAAGCCACTTCGTTGAGCTATCCTTTGTGAAAGCCAGGTCGCTTCTGAAAAACAGCTACAAAGCTCAGTGGGCCTTGACCTGCAAAAAGAAACTACCTGGCCTGCACAATAAAGCACGACCCGGACAGTTCCCCGCCGGGCCTGCCCAACACGACCACGACCGCCACACGCGGCCCGTAACGAGTGCCGGGCGGCGGTCCCCCGGAGCGCGCTCCGCTCACCTTGTCCGTGCGCGCTGACGGTGACCACGGTCTCCTTGCGCTGGCCCAGCGCCACGCCGCCCGACGGCTCGTACATCACCACCTGGAAGTTGTCGTCGCGCGTCGGGTCGACGGGCTGGCGGTACGGGATGGTGATGCTCTTTTGGATCTCGCCGTCGGGCATCGCCAGCTCGCCCGACATGTTCTGGTAGGCGGAGGGGCGCGACGGCAGCGAGGGCAGCGTCTTCCACTTGACGCGCACGTCGCCGTCGTGGCCGCGCGTGCGCACCACCGGCACGTGGATCTCTGCCTGGCCCTGCTTGTGCACCTGCGAGGTCTTGGAGAACTCCAGCAGGCCGGGGTCTGTGCGGGACGTGGGGAGGTAAGGTCAGGCGGTCGCGCGGTTTGCCTCCGCCGTCCCGCTACTGATGTGTTAGAAACTTAGGCCGCCGCCGCTGCTGCCACCTTAACTATGGAACAACCAAGGCTCATTGTAATGTGTCACCTACTTGTTGGGGGACTCCGCATTATCTCGGTGTGGTCCAGGACTGGTTTTGTTGTTGTTTTGGCTGCCTTGCCCAATCTCGATCAATTGGACTTTGTTAACTAATTATTCACATTTTGTTACTTGCTTACCATTTTCTCTATTTTTGCACTCGTTTTTCTTTTGCATTGTTTGCTGTTGTAACCTTGCTGACCCGCGCCCTACAGAACATTTATTAAAAAAAGACCTTCACAGCTCATCGGATTCCCCCTCCTCCTCCTCCTCCTGCGGCCTAAAGTAAAGATCGCCGATTCTGAGCCCGGCTTGAGTCTCCCAAGTGAGCGGTGAAATTCCGAGTGAACCCCGCTCACCGCGGTCATCCAGGAGCGTGATGATGGAGCGCTTGTAGCGGCCGATGCGGGCGCCCAGCTTGGGGTCGAAGAGCTCCACCTCGAACTGGCGCGGCTGGGCGTAGAGCTGGGACGGGGAGCTGCGTGCCGGCAGGATCGGAATGGAGATCTCCTTGTCCTTCTCCGTCGGAGTGAACTTGAGGACTCCCTCCGTGGGCTCGTAGTCCTGAGCACGCCGCGCCCAAGCGACCGAAGCGAGGCGGGGGGGAGGTAGGGAGGGAGGGAGGGAGGGGCGGAGGGGGTCGTCACGAGTCATACGTGGCCCGGAGTGGAGTCGAGCCGGTGGGCGTGCGCTGTCCTGTGGCCTGCGTGAACCTTCCCCATTGTCTGAGAATAAAATTTAATCCTCAGCTCTGCGCCGGTCTCCCAGCCGGAGGGTTGCCACTTTGCCGACGTGCCCATCGTGGACACGGCGCGTGAAAGAAGCGCCCAGCCGAGTAGCCGCCTACCTCCACAGTACCACTGTTCTGTATTAAATACAACGCAACAACTTATAATAATGTGCCCGTTCGTCAGTCTACCGCTCCCACACACACACACCTACCGGACTATGAGGTGCACGATAAGATGCTTTGAAAAACATGTGGGGGGGAAAGTTGCGTGTCTCATAATATGGAGAATAACGTCCTTGCAGCACCTTCTCCCCTATTCCGGCAATGTGATGAGACACTCTTGATGAAGTGTCCCGATAGTTCATAGCACAGAGGTGCGAGCGAGCGAGCGGCGGGGAGCGGTGGCGCAGCGGTTCGCGTGCTGCGCTACTGAACCCGGTGACCCGAGTTCGATTCCCGCTCACGGCCAATACCGGTAACAATAATCTGAAACGTTCATGGGCTTCCCCTAGGTCGACCCAGCCTCAAATGAGTAACATGGTGCGGTGTGTAGTAAACATCGCCACTGGGGAGACAAAGGCGGCGGGGCATGGTGCTGCTAGCCACCCATCCCCTCGTGTGCCTCATAGGTGCTACTACTCGCTAACAGCACTTGCCCCAACAGTCTGTTCAGGTTATACGGTGGGGGGGTGGGGCAGTGGGGGGAGATCTTTGTGTGAGCGCGCGAGGGCCGCACCTGCCGGGCGATGGCTGAGAGGTCGTGGGTCTGGTACTTGATCTGGGCGGGGCTCTCCTCCAGGATGTTGCGGTCCACAGGCACCACCACCTTGGAGACGGCATTTCGGATGGTGTACGCCGGCTGCACGAAGCTCACGATACTCTTGGCTGCAGCCACGGGGCGCGACGGTGGGAAGAGGGAAACGGGTGACGCGACGGCTCTTAGAGACGTCGTCGTTGGCGTTCGAACGTTGGGCTAGGAACGCCGAGCTAGTCTGTGCTGCTCTACAGTTGCCTGCGTGGGGAGTGGGATCGGCTTTGCCCATCGTGGCCAGCTGGCTGAACGAACTTAAGAAAGAAACAACGTTGGTGATAAAGGAATTGGAGTTTTTGTAATAATTTTACGTCCCTTATTGTCAATTGACTTCTCCAATACCACGTTTGTGTTTTCAAAGGCGACCTGGCCACGCGTGATCATAGCTCATCCAAGTGGCTGACGTCATCATCATCATCACCACCACACGTGGGAATTTATAGAAGCAGCCAAATAATCTAAACGGGTGCTGATTATAACTGTCGAGGGCAAAGCCGGAGGAGCCCAGAGAAATATCCACGTGACCTCCACGTGGTGAGCGAGCACACGCAAACTCCAAATATACATCACGGGCATCGTCAGGGTCCGGCGTCCAACCGATGACCTCCTGCGCACCGGGCGAGGGAGACGACATCTCCTGCGCCACCACGGCAACCCCGTGCCGGATTGGTCCTAGGGACCAGCCCGATCGTATTGGGCCACACCAGCCAATGGGCGTCGGCGGAGACCGGAGCACAATGCAGTGAGGAGTGCTTTGACGCAACGGCGACGAGGCCACCTCCCACCCCCCCCCCCCGACCGTTGCGGCTCGCACCCATGTCCTTGATGATGGTGATGTGCACGTTGCGGCGCGTGATGCGCGCCAGCCCCTCGGGGACGCTCGTGGCCTCCACCAGCAGCTTCTTCTCCATGTCGTCCTCCTCCTTGACGAAGAGCGGCACGCGCACGTCCTGCGCGTCCACGCCCTCCTGGTACTCCACCTCGCCGTGGGCGTCTGCGCGGGACAGAGTCGCGCCGCGCCGTCAAAGACACGTCGGGTAAGTTCACGGTGCGTGCGTGTGCGTACGCATGTACGTGTGTTGAACTGAGTTTTCAATCTAGAGTGTTCAATCGATGTGTGGGTCTCTATGTGAGCCTATGAGACGCCGTGTGAGTCTATCGGTCTCTATGCACGTATGTTGAACTTCTTTCGCACCGTACATAGTCAACCGCGCTAAACGGAAGTGTGGGGGGAAAATACACAAAAAGGCATTTCTAAAGAAATAAATTCTCAATCTAGATGATTTAAAAGTGCATAGCTCCAGTGGCTTCTTAATATTAACACCGCGCTGGGCTCAATGCCACAGTGGTTTCACGCTCAATGGAATTCATTTGTTCTTTCTTCTAAATTATGTCAGACCACGTGAGAGGCTGTTCAGACCAAACGCCTCTTTTTCAAAAGACTTTGCCTGCCTCAACAATTCACAGACGTCCCATGTTGATTTAAAGCTTTCGTGACTGCAGGGATTCATATTCTTGGTTCTTTCGGTAAAGTCACGTAGAAGGGAAATAATAAGTACGGTCGAATGACTTTACCGAAAGAACCAAGAATATAGACGTCCCATTGTTGATTTGAGATGGACTTCCCATTGCCCTTCGTATGCACGCATCGTGGCACTCCGACATGCTCGCAGACCAATCGGCACAACATTGGCCGGCCCTACGCCAGAGAGCTGAGCCAATCAGCATCAAGAACCGGCAACAACAGCAGCAGCAGCAACGCTAGATAAGGGAGAGCGAAAGCGAGCTGCCCACCTCAATTCCTGGAGAAGCTCAGCAGCACGTGGGGCGAAACGACGTCGGACATCGTGCCGAGCATCCCGTAGCGATACACAATGCCCGAAAAACACATCGGAGAGCCATTCAGCGCGGACCTATTCGGCTCTCGTCCGCCGGGGTATTTTGTTTGCCGTGGAGGCGGCCGCGCGTGCGGGGGTCTCACCGCGGTCGGTGGCCACGGTGTAGAAGCCCGGCACGACGGGCACCTTGCTGAAGGCGCCCAGGTTCACCTGCTTCTCCGTGGTCTCCATGATCTCCCGGAGGGCCGAGCGCGGCGCCGGGAGCACCGTGTCCACCACCACGTTCCTGTCCCTGCGCGGAGAGAGGTTCGCGACGGCGCCGGTGGGGGAGAGACGTAACGACTCATCGGAGAGAAAGAGACACGGGACCCAGGGACGACACCCGGGAAGGAGGAGAGGGTTCAGATATCGCCCGCCGCTGACGTTAGCTGGAGCCGGGAATCGGGCTCGGGCCTTCGAATTCGTAGCATGGCGTGCAAACCACTGCTGAACTGCTGGAACCCCCAAGGAAAACTCTAGCACCTACGATAAGCACGGTTGGCTACGTACGGCGCGAAAGACGTTCAACATACATACATAGCAGATTAAATACATGAAAATAAAATCTATACGACTGTATGCAATGAAGTATGTTTAAATGGGCATCAGACGAAAACATAAATAGTTTAGAAGCTTGAGGTCACTTGACTTCTTAAAAAACTCAACGTTTATTTTCAACTTAATTTATTTGTTATCAGACGTCTGCTCGTGGTACATAATCTGCGTGGGAGGTGTAAGGCAAGCCCGTCAGGGACAAACTCTCACCTTTTGCCAGCATTCGGCTGCAATCTGTAACAGCAAAACAAGTCGGCATGAATTAGTTTGTGTTATACATAATGGCCATAATAATAACAACGCCAATTATTTACCCCATGAACGTCTCAAAAAGGACGTGCACTCTGAAGCAAATGTTATGCAGAAGGGCCACTGCCAAACATCGCCTATTAAAAATGTTTGGTCCTGTTAAGGCCACAGCGTTAGTAATGAACACAGTGTGTTAGCAGCACCACGGCACTTTGTCAGCAACAGCACCAAACGATACGAGTGAAGTGCACTGCTCATTGTCGGTGCGATTCAGTGGGTGGCGGACGCTGGGACGACTGTGACGCACCTCAGCACCGTGTTGCGGACGGTTTGCGTTCCGATGACGTTGCCGTACACCGTGTTCAGCTGCAAACGCGCAAACACAACGCGAGGTGAGATGAACAATCGGCCCGCCGGTTGAACCAGAACGAGCCGCGCCACGGTGTCATCTTACGTTGGTGGGGCAGTGGTGACGATCGGTGATGATGATCATGATGAGGGGTAGTCTAGCGGTTAGCGAGCTGCGCTACAAACCCGGCAACCCGAGTTCTATTCCCGCTTACGGCCAACACCAGTGGGCCTACTGGGCCTCCACTAGGTCGACTCAGCCTCAAATGAGTACCTGGTAAGGTGTGTGAAATGATCGCCACTGGGGATACAAAGGCCGGCCACCCACCCCCTCGTGTGCCGTGCCGGCCCTCATAGGTGCTACTCGCTAACAGCACTTGCCTCAACAGTCTGTTAAGGCTACACGGGGAATCTTTGTATTTTTAGAGGTGTGTGTGTGGTGGTTGGAAGTGCTCCGTGCCACTCACATTTTGCTCCACCTCCTTGATGAGGGTCTTGTTCTCCGGAGTTCCCGGCTGCGCCAGGTTATCATTCATGAGCCGCGCCAGGCGAAGGGTGATGCCATGGTACACTGACAAAGACAAAGATCCCCCATATAGCCGACATAGACGGTGGTGGCAAGTTCTGTGAGGGGCGGGGATGGTGCGGTCAGAACCACGTCCGACAACTATCGTCTTCCCTATGCTGGTAAACTCATACATTTCGTCTTCATGCCCTTATTATGGAGGCGATGATTACAACGTGTTCTGAAATGAAATATTTGTGGGCACATTTTTCTTAATTTTTTTATCATTTGCCAGCGTCCAGCGTGAAGCGGACGGCGCAAAATATTTGAGAGTGAATACATCCGCAGTGGTAACCAGGGCGGCCGCTGGGTTCCAACCGTGCGGAGAAAACATAGGCCACTCTCTAACATAGTGGGGTGGGAGTGGGGGGAATTCCATGAGCTATAAAGCTCTTTTTCACAGATGTCTAGTCAGGACACGGGGTCATGGCGTTATAACAACATACAATACAAAAGGAAAGTGTTGGAAAGGGAAACGAATCACTTGAAAAAAATTATACGAATGAGACGAAACTTTTATCTTACCAGGTAATGCCCACTGAACTATTCGCTCATTTTTCAGAAGCGACCTCGCCACAAATGACAGCTCAACAAAGTGCCTCACCGCGTGGAAATGTACAGAGAATCTAAAACGCAAGATGCCCGAACGGCCACTCGGTCTCATCAAGTGATGCCGACAGCACAATTGGGGATCAAAATCATCGGTGGGGAGGGAGGGCGGCGGGAGTGGGGAGGAAGGCGGGGAGGGGGGAATAAAACGATAAAAACGCGAATGATAGCGCCGAAGGCTGACGAGGTTGGCGCCTCCGAAAGGTCTTCCCGGCGTGCGGGACACCGGCTTCTCGCCGTACCTGTCTCCTGCATGCTGGGAGGCGGGATGGTGGCCGCCGGCTTGTGGACGTTGTCCGTCACCTTCCACTTGACGATGTCGGGGCCGCCCAGGGGCCCGGCGCGGGCCAGTGGCGTGTCCACGTAGTCGGCCGTCAGCGCGTTCTGGTGGAACAGGTACTGGTCCTCCGTCCAGCCCACCGTGCGACCTGTGGGCGAGCGAACCGGCAAAGCTCCGGCAACGTCTCGGACACCGCGCCGCCCGTGTCTCCCGTAGACACTGCCCACCTTCTGTAGACCCTTAATGAAATGCTGCCGCTGTGGAAAGATGTTAACTCCCTCGCCCGGTATGCAGGAGGCCGTGTGTTCGATCCTGACCCTGACGCCTGTTTATGTATTTGGAGTGTGCGTGTCTCTCTCTCCCTTTGGTCGCGTGGATTTTTCTCCGGGTCCTCCGGTTTTCCCCTCCACATTTAGAATCAATGTGCGTTACGAGTATTGAGCTACTATAAGTTTCCACACCATACGCCACTTAGATGAGCTATCATTTGTGATAAGCCAGGTGGCCTCTGAAAAAAAAGCTACATAGCTCAGTGGGCCTTACCTGGATGCTTAAAAAAACGTAGACAATGTCCCCAATAGCCTTTCTCCTGTAGACACCCCGTGTCTCGTGTAGATAGCAACCCATCTCATCCACCTTGGTGTAATGGTGAGCACACTGCACCTTGCAAGGCCAGCGGTTCGCCTGTTTGATCTCCTGGCACGGCCGTTTAAACATTGGGGCACCTTTATTATTACATTCAGGCTAGTCCTGATATGAGCTCTGAAAACGGCTGCGTGCTCACCTTTAGTCCAGGCTCCAATCGGAACCTTTTGGTATCCCTGTGGAGAAAAAGAAGCCACGTGATCAGATGTGAATACTGATGATACGTCACACGGTCAGACAACGTAACGGGTAATAATTTCCATTAATCCACAGACCCTTTAGTCAATCCACTTCCGGATGGAGGCCTCCCCACGCAGCCGTGCCGGTCAGAAGGGGTCATTCGACCGTACTTCCCCACGTGGACTGCTCAGTGCGAGTTTGTGAAGTTGTGGGGGTGGAACCAAGGACAGCCGTGGCTACGAATCGAACTCAGGTCGCCAGGTTCATGGCGAGTGCGTGTGTGTGTGTGTGTACGAATGGAGCGGTAGTGTAGCGGTTAGCGCGCTGCGCTACTAACCTGGTGACCAGAGTTCGATTCCCACTCACGGCCAACGCCAGTGGTAATTATCAGAACTGATCCTGGGCCTCCCCTAGGTCGACTCAGCCTCAAATGAGCACCTGGTGCGGTGTGTAAACATCGCCGCTGAGGTCGGGCATGGTGCTGGCCACCCACCCCCTCGCGTGCCATGCCGGCCTTCATAATTGCCCGTTAACAGCACTTGCCCCAACAATCTGTTAAGGCTATAGGGGAGATTTTTGTACGAACCACCGCACCACCACTTTCTTCCCGCCACATGACGAGTATAATATCAGTGTGACACGGAAGTTTCAGGTAAGCCCATTAAATGCGGTCTTCACGTCTCCTGTAGTTGTAATGTACAAGTGGCGAAGGTATGAATACTCTTAGGTTTATTTGTTAATTATTTATTATTGTTTTATTTTTCTATTATTATTATTTACCTACGTGACTTTACCGGAAAAACAATGAGTATGAATCCTTGCAGTCACGAAAGCTTCAAATCTGGAAGGTGTGAATACCAGCCTCTCGGAGTGCATTAAAACAGGCGCTCCTCTCGAAGCTATTATCACAATGGCTCGCAAGCTTCAAGCCTGGACGATGAATTTACACACACACACTCTCCATACGCTGAGAAAGAGTCTGCAGCTCACTTCGAAAGCAATCTTGCATTTCGTGCACTCCGTACAAGCTGTACACAGTCACCCTCCAGCAGAGCGTATACACAGTGATAACGAGTGAATTGTACCGGTCCCTTTGCTGCCCCTGTATCCCTCTGCCCTGGTCTAAACTAAACTACATTTTTATTTCACCAGGTCAAGGCCCACTGAGCTCTATAGCTCTCTTTCAGAAGTGACCTGGCCACAAAGGAGAGCTCCACTCAGGTGGCTTATTGCCACGTGGACATTTGTAGCGGCCGGATGCTCCTGGCGCGTTGTTCCTGTCCGGGCGCCGTGCGTCAGCCGTCACCTTGCAGCAGGCGAAGCCGCCGACGCAGCACTTCCAGCACAGGAAGGCGAGCAGGCCGAGCAGCGGGATGAGGAACATGATGAGGGGGATGAGCCACAGGAAGCCAGCCGCCGGGCACTCTGGGGAAGCGGCAACGAGCGCACGGCACACGACGACGGCGTTACCACCACCGCGCCACGCCACCACCGCTATGTCATAACCGTCACCACCACCGCGCCACACCGCCACCGCTATGTCATAACCGTCACCACCACCGCGCCACACCGCCACCGCTATGTCATAACCGCGCCTGCGCGTGCGTCACACAAACGTCGGCACCGCACAGTGAACGGTATCGTCACAACCACCGCACCACGCCACCACATGTCAGCAACGCACCACATCACCACCGCACAGTGAACGGTATCATCACAACCACCGCACCACGCCACCACACATCAGCAACGCACCACATCACCACCGCACAGTGAACGGTATCATCACAACCACCGCACCACGCCACCACACATCAGCAACGCACCACATCACCACCGCGCAGTAAAACGACATCGTCGCGACCACCGGACCACCGCACGATGTCACCGCCGAATCGCATCACCAAACCGCAACGCCGCCGCACACTGTACGATGCGATCACATCGCACCGTTAACACCCAGACGACGTCGTCATTATTTACGTGATTGTAAAAGCATCAACATGAAGCAGTCGAAATCCCAAGGCACGTCTAATCTAAAGTAGCCTGCAGGGAGTTTCCTGAGCGTGTTCCCTCATCGTTGACACATACACACACGTCACAACGATTGGCCACGCAATGGCAGATCAGCCCGGCGTGACCCCACATTTTATCGTGAGGCTTAGCAGACTCTCGCCCAATCAATGCAAACACAGCAATACAAATCATCAAACGCTGCGAGCAACACAACTGCCAAAATGTTAACTTTATTATTTTTATTTGTAGTGCATCTCGATAAACTAACCTTTGGGGGCCTGCCCTTGGGAGTTGAGAAATGATGTCCAATTTGAACCTTTATACGTTATTTATATTTATTGATAGCGATTTGATTACATTTCCTATTCTCTGCATTCCTTTATATTAAGTTCACTTGCTTGCTTGCTTGCGCGCTTACGACCGTGCAAATATTTAGGTAGTTTTTTAACCCACTTCCCGTGATCCAATCGAGCTGACATTTTGCACATAGACTCGTTGTGCGTGACAATTTATTTTCGTGAAAATTTTTTTCAAAAATGTTACACTTTTTAGGAAAAAAGAAATTAGATTTAATTACCAATTGCTTAATGGTGGCCGGCAATCATCTGACCCATAGGTGGTAGCCATCTCAAGCCAGAGGACAAGAGGACTCTAGCCGCCACGCATAAAGGATTCATAGTGAAAACTTTGTTTTTACGGGTTAATTATTTTAAATATCGTTTATTGCTGTAACTTTCTGACCCCCCACGCCAGCTGGACATGTGTGAAAAAAAAACCTTAAAAGCTCGGCGTTTTTTTTTATCCAGGGAAAAAAATTATAATAATCTGATTCTGATGTTTGGCATGAACCAAAAAAATCGCACAGTTTTAGTTTTTTTTTAATTCCCGGAGCCAGCCACCCGGCAACGGCTGACCGTGTCGCGGCCTCTCACCCTTCTTCTTGAGCGTCTCGATCCTGTACTCGCTGCGGTCGTCCGGGGAGTTCTCCACCGTGTAGTGGTACACGCAGCCGTCCTCCTCGTCCTTGAACTTGCAAACCTCGAGCACCGAGTTGGCTGCGCAGACAGACAGCAGGCGAGCGCGACACGCGTGGCCACGGCCAGCGTTGGCGCCACGTTTACCACGTGTCCCTCCCCGCCCCCCCCCAAGGCATCGCACGCGAGGGGTGCGGCTGCGGTCCCGTTTCGACTCCCGGCTTGCGCGCACGTTATGCATCATCGTTTTATCCCATCTCGTTTGTATTTTTCTCAATTCTGCTCATTACCTTGTTTATACAGATTTCTCCACAAATCTGGCTGTCGCCTGATGAAGCTGGTTGTAATTACTGGCGAAACGTCGTTACTCAGATTGTAAATGTTGTGGCTTTGCTATCCAACACACCGGTGTGCTGTACTAGTGACGAATTGGCACGTTCTGTTTACGTGACAAACCTTACTAATTGGCTGTGTCGGGTGATGGCGGGTTTAACGACACATTTATATATTTATAAATAGTGACCCAGTGTCACAATTCTCCTCCGAGTATCACAAACTCTTATCCGGGTGTGCCACCGTGCGTGTGCGTTCGCGTGCGTGTTGTGTGTGTGCGTGTTGTGCGTGCATGTTGTGTGTGTGCGTCCGCGTGTTGTGCGTTCGCGTGCGCGTGTTGTGTGTGTGCGTGCGTGTTGTGTGTGCGTGCGCGTGTTGTGTGTGTGTGCGTGTGTTGTGTGTGCTTGCGTGTTGTGTATGTGCGTGCGTGTTGTGTGCGTGTTGTGTGAAGCACCGACCTCCCTTGAGCTCGTCGACCATGACGGTTTGCGGGGAGCATCGTCCGCACTCGTCGCCCTTCTTCTCGCCGGTGCCCCACGCCTGGCACTGCACGCACGAGCGCGTGTCCTCGCACAGGCCCAGGCACTTCTGCTCGCACCGATGCACGCACGCACGCGAACATCACCGCCGGGCACTCGGAGCCATCGGTGCCGCTCACGAGCCATCGTGGCAGGCAGCCGACTCGCTCGGCGTTTCCACGGCGGCACAGCAGCGACTCGCGCGCCGCTCTCTGGAATCCGGTGAGCCGAGTTTGATTCCCGGCCGCGGGTCGAAACCCTCCGCTCGTGATACGCACGTCGAATTCTGCACGTGGGAATCAATTCATTTGTGATTTACGTAAAATTATGCACGAATTATATGGTAGATTCAGGTTAACGGAGAAAATTAAACCGTATGAATGAGATAGTGAAAAGAAATTGGAAAAATGTTCATGAGATGGGATAAAAAATACACACAAAACATTGATTCTTAAAGGGGATCATGCCACCAAACCATGGCGAGTCACAACATCTCTGGCAGGGTGTATTGTTACCTACCTCGAGTTTTATGCACCAAAAACAAAGATCCCCGCATAACCCTCAACAGACTGTTGGAGCAAGTGCTGTTAGCGAGCACCTATTACTGCCGCTCCTCCCACACACCCGCCCACACGCACACCCCACGGCACATGAGAATTACCGTATAAAGCTTCTTCAAGGACGTGACCCCGGTACAAATAGTGGAGCTGCGTTGCCCCCCCCCCTCACCACCACTCACCAGGCAGACCTCGCAGGTAGAGCCACTGAACTGCTGCTTGTCACACTCGCACACGCCGCAGTGACACGTCCCGCGGCCGTTACAGATTCCCTGCGAACACAACGAAACCGTCAGCTCCCCTTCTCGCCACAGAGGGGGAACAGCGCGGCCACGCAGCCACAGTGGCAGTGGTTAGAGCAGTCGCTGATGCACGCGCATGAGCGTGCGTGTAGGTCGACTCAGCTTCAAATGAGTACCTGGTGAAGTGTGTAAACATCGCCACTCGGGAGACAAAGGCTGGCCGGGCGTGGTGCTGGCCACCCATCCCCTCGTGTACCGTTCTGGCCTTCATAGGTGCTCGCTAACAGCACTTGCCCCTACAGTCTGTTAAGGCTATACGAAGGATCATTATCATTGTGTCCGGTAAAATGGACACGACTGGGCAGTTGGAGGCAGTCGCCCTACAACAATAGTGGAGGGCACGGGAGCGACGCTCAAAACAACGAGCGGAGCGCCGTTGAGGCTAAAACGCAGCAAGTTGGAACACAAGGGGGCACAGTTGGTGCATTGGCCAGTCATCTCAGTCACGTCAACCCATGGCAACTGGGTCTGTCCTGTGACCTGCTGCCAGCAAGCCTTTGACACTTCACCCGGCCTCAAAATTAACTTGGCCTGGCACAAGCGCCGTGGTGACGTTACTGCTACTTAGTGGCGAATGGCGGCTGTTGTTGTTGTTGTGTGAGTGTGACACCCTTTGTCTTTTCTTGGCGTGTGAGTGTGTGAGTGAGTGTGTGAGTGAGTGTGTGAGTGAGTGTGTGTGTGAGTGTGTGAGTGAGTGTGTGAGTGAGTGAGTGAGTGTGTGAGTGAGTGTGTGAGTGAGTGTGTGAGTGAGTGTGTGAGTGAGTGTGTGAGTGAGTGTGTGAGTGAGTGAGTGAGTGTGTGAGTGAGTGTGTGAGTGAGTGTGTGAGTGAGTTAGTGAGTGTGTGAGTGAGTGTGTGAGTGAGTGTGTGTGTGAGTGAGTGAGTGTGTGAGTGAGTGTGTGTGTGAGTGAGTGAGTGAGTGTGTGAGTGAGTGAGTGTGTGAGTGAGTGAGTGAGTGTGTGTGTGAGTGAGTGAGTGAGTGTGTGTGTGAGTGAGTGTGTGAGTGTGTGAGTGAGTGTGTGTGTGAGTGTGTGAGTGAGTGAGTGTGTGAGTGAGTGTGTGAGTGAGTGAGTGTGTGAGTGAGTGAGTGTGTGAGTGAGTGTGTGTGTGAGTGAGTGAGTGAGTGTGTGAGTGAGTGTGTGTGTGAGTGAGTGTGTGTGTGAGTGAGTGAGTGAGTGTGTGAGTGTGTGTGTGAGTGAGTGAGTGAGTGTGTGAGTGAGTGTGTGTGTGAGTGAGTGAGTGAGTGTGTGAGTGAGTGTGTGAGTGAGTGAGTGAGTGTGTGTGTGAGTGAGTGAGTGTGTGTGTGAGTGAGTGTGTGAGTGTGTGAGTGAGTGAGTGAGTGTGTGTGTGAGTGAGTGAGTGAGTGTGTGAGTGAGTGTGTGAGTGTGTGAGTGAGTGTGTGAGTGAGTGAGTGTGTGAGTGAGTGTGTGAGTGAGTGTGTGAGTGAGTGTGTGAGTGAGTGTGTGTGTGAGTGAGTGAGTGAGTGTGTGAGTGAGTGTGTGAGTGAGTGAGTGAGTGTGTGTGTGAGTGAGTGAGTGTGTGTGTGAGTGAGTGTGTGAGTGAGTGTGTGAGTGAGTGAGTATGTGAGAGTGTGTGAGTGAGTGTGTGAGTGAGTGTATAAGTGAGTGAGTGTGTGAGTGAGTGTGTGAGTGAGTGTATGAGTGAGTGAGTGTGTGTGAGTGTGTGAGTGAGCGAGTGAGTGGGTGAGTGTGTGTGTGAGTGAGTGAGTGTGTGAGTTAGTGGTGTGTGAGTGAGTGTATGAGTGAGTGTGTGAGTGAGTGTGTGAGTGAGTGAGTGTGTGAGTGAGTGTATGAGTGAGTGAGTGTGTGAGTGAGTGTGTGAGTGAGTGTATGAGTGAGTGAGTGTGTGAGTGAGTGTGTGAGTGAGTGTATGAGTGAGTGAGTGTGTGAGTGAGTGAGTGTGTGAGTGAGTGTGTGTGTGAGTGAGTGTGTGAGTGAGTGAGTGTGTGAGTTAGTGAGTGTGTGAGTGAGTGTATGAGTGAGTGAGTGTTGAGTGAGTGTGTGAGTGAGTGAGTGTGTGAGTGAGTGTGTGAGTGAGTGAGTGTGTCAGTTAGTGAGTGTGTCAGTGAGTGAGTGTGTGAGTGAGTGAGTCTGTGAGTGAGTGTGTGTGTGAGTGTGTCTGTGAGTGAGTGTGTGAGTGAGTGAGTGTGTGAGTTAGTGAGTGTGTGAGTGAGTGTATGAGTGAGTGAGTGTGTGAGTGAGTGTGTGAGTGAGTGAGTGTGTGAGTGAGTGTGTGAGTGAGTGAGTGTGTCAGTTAGTGAGTGTGTCAGTGAGTGAGTGTGTGAGTGAGTGAGTCTGTGAGTGAGTGTGTGAGTGAGTGTGTCTGTGAGTGAGTGTGTGAGTGAGTGAGTGTGTGAGTTAGTGAGTGTGTGAGTGAGTGTATGAGTGAGTGAGTGTGTGAGTGAGTGTGTGAGTGAGTGAGTGTGTGAGTGAGTGTGTGAGTGAGTGAGTGTGTCAGTTAGTGAGTGTGTCAGTGAGTGAGTGTGTGAGTGAGTGAGTCTGTGAGTGAGTGTGTGAGTGAGTGTGTCTGTGAGTGAGTGTGTGAGTGAGTGAGTGTGTGAGTTAGTGAGTGTGTCAGTTAGTGAGTGTGTCAGTGAGTGAGTGAGTGTGGCACTCACCCCACGGCCATCGCGGCATGTTTCCACACCCAGGGGACACTGACACGCCTCCCCTGTCCAGCCGGCGCTGCACTCACACTTCCCGCAGCTGCAGTCGCCGCGACCTGCACTCACACACACGGACATGGACACAGAGACGAGACAGAAAGATACAACTAAAACCAAAATTTTTATATAAAATAAACTAAACTATTTTATTTTTACCGGGTAATCGCCACTGAGCTATTTTTCATAAGCGACCTGGCCCACGTGGAAATTGATAGCAGCCAAATACCTGAAACGCATGCCAGGAACAAAGGGAGTTCACATTGAAAGATTGAAAATTAATTTCTTTCTAACGGCTTTTTTGTTGCGTTTAGTTCGTTGTCCTTCCCCACCGGCACCTCCGATTGGCACGGTTGGCTATGTAGAGTGCGAAAGAAGTTCAGTGTTCGTACAAACATACGTACAACATCTCCCCCCCTCTCCCCGGTGAAACCTAAACAGACTGATAATAGTTTTTTTACCCTTCTATCTGGCAACAAAACTGACACCTTTTTTTACGAGGAATCATGTTTGCATAGACCACAATACCTGCAGTCATAATGCAAAAAAAAAACATAACTCTGATAATGTATGCACTGTCCTTGAAGTTGATTGGTCCACACCCAAGACAGCTTTTCTTAGAGCCTAGTCTCACATGGTGTTGGAGCAGATGACGCCAAAAGGCGCACAACTTAAAGACACTGCACCTTCAGAGTATGAGAGCTCGGGGTAAGCATTTACACCATTGGAACCTCATTTGCCAGTTAAAAATATGATAATTGTATTTTTTCGTAATAAAAGGTGTCAGTTTTGTTGCCAGATAAAAGGGTAAAAAAACAATTATCATATTTCTTACTGGCAAATGAGGTTCCAATGGCCTAAACAGACTGTCGGGGCAAGATCCGCGCCAGCGGTGGGTTAGGGACGGCCCGCCTGCGCACCGTTGCAGATGATGCCGTTGGCGCGCGGGCACTGGAAGTTGTCGCACTCGCAGTACTGCCCGTAGTACTTCTCCAGCGGGTTGGGCCGCGGCCAACAGAAGCAGCTGCCGCACACGCAGTCGCCGCGCTTCGAGCAGGGCTCCGAGTCGCCGGGCCGCGTGCACGACGCCGCGTTCACCAACTGCGACGTCCCCAGCTTGCTGCAGTTGCAGTTGGAGCCCAGCCTGCGCAGGGACGGCGGCACACGCACGGATGGGCACGCGCGGGCGGGTGGGAACTCCCCCCCCCCCCGGATCCCTGCCGCCCCCTCCCCCGATACTTTTGTGTCATTTATTTTGTTGGGACGACCCAAAAGCTGAACTCTTCACGTCTCGCCAAGCTTGCTTTAGTCACGCTACACTGATCCGCGCTTGTGCAAGGAATGTGTTGCTCATGGGAGCGTTCACAAAAGCAACTAGCATTCATTGGTAGTTGCGCAATAAACTAAACTATGAACTCTTTTTTTATTTCACCAGGTCAGGTCCACTAAGCTGCTACGTAGCTCTTTTTAGAAGCGAGCTGGCTATCGCAAATGGTAGCTCAACGAAGTGGCTTATCACGTGGAAATGCATAGCAGCCAAATACTCGAAACGCACGGCGATTCTGAATGTGGAGGAGAAAAACCGGAGGACCCAGAGAAAAATCCACGCAACCACGAAGAGAGACACGCAAACTCCAAATATACAGCAGCAGGCATCTGCGTCGGGATCGAACCCACGACCTCCTGTATACCAAGCGAGGTAGTTAACATCTCAAAGCCACCGTGGCACCCAATAGGTAAAGGAGCAACCCCGCAACGTCTTGCTCAAGCCACTGCTGGCGGAAGGGCCTCCACTCGAGGCAACTCTTTCTAGAAAACCCCTCTGAAGTGGTGGTCCTTCTTCACCTGAGGTGCACACACTCCCTGGGGGTACGAGATTCCCTTTCTGGCCAGAATTTTGATAAAGGTAAATAATTAATCGAAAAACACAAACTAAGCATATTCTTAGGTGTTTTCGGTAAAGTCACGTAGGTAAAACATCAAAATTAATAAAAATAATAAAATAAAAAAATTATTGTAATGAAATAATTAAATATTTTGCTTTTTTTTTTTTTTACTTTATTAATTTTGATGTTTTACCTACGTGACTTTACCGAAAACACCTAAGAATATGATTCCTTGCAGTCACGAAAGCTTCAAGTCTAGAAACACAAACTAAGCACGGGCACGTAAGCACAACTACTTTGTTTCATCGAACTCTGTGTGTTTATTAACATTCTGATGGAGAACCAAAGGTGTGCAAGGCTGCAGTGAAGAAGCACTCAGGATGGGCCACCGTCACGTGGTCCAACCTGTGAAGTGTCCCCAGCCTGACCAGCGCCATCGACCAGCCCACTTGGGGCTGTCACCCGACGATGTCCCGGTGCGAGTGACCCACTGGTCAGACGTTCTCTTTTGGAAGTGGTGGGGGAGACCTTACCCCCCCCCCACCCCCCCCACCCCCCCCCACCCCCCCCCACCCCCCCACCCCCCCCCACCCCCCCACCCCCCCCCACCCCCCCACCGGTCGACTCGTGACGTGCGATCTAAGGCAAAGGTGCAAGTGGTTCCGGGGGGAGCCGAGCGAGCACCGCCACGTACCAGCCATCGTTGCAGTAGCAGTGGCCGCAGGTCAAGCGTCCGTTCCCACTGCACATGGGGTTCGACACCGGCGTGGCCTGCGGGCGCGGCGGACAGAGGGCGAGGACAAGGGGAGAGGCGGCGGGGGGGGGGGGAGCGAGACGGAGGGGAGTCAGCGTGAAGCCTATGCCGCGTGGCTCGCTGTGTTGTGCGTATGTGCAAAGACGGTCACGGCATCGCGGCGCTTTCAGATGCGCTTCTGCGGCCGTCTGGAACGCTCTTCCTTCCGACATTAGGAAGCCACTGGAGCGATGCACTTTTAAATCATCTAGATTGAAAACTCATTTATTGAGGACTGCTTTTTGTGTTTCGTTTGTTGTCCCCCTTCCCCGTACCTCCGATTAGCGCAATTGGCAATTGGCTACGTACGGTGTGAAATAAATTCAACATATATGAAAAAAGTACAACATGTATGTTGAACTTATTTCACACCGTACATAGCCAATCGTACTAATCGGAAGTGCGACAATCGGAGGTTTCAGTGCAGACCATCGCAGATCATCACTCGGGTCCCTCGCTGGCTCCTAATCGAATTCCGGATCAATCAAAGATCGCTCTCACCATCTTCAAGATCTTCCATGGACTCACCTCTGCCTTCCTCTCCCCTCTCATCTCACTCTACACCCCTCCACGCACTCTCCTACATCTCCAATCTGAGCTACTGCTCCAGGAAGGTTGCTCATTATCTTCTACTGTCCCTAATGTCTGGAACTCTCTTCCCCCAGCCATCCTTGCTGTCAACTCCCTGCCCTGTGTAAGTCCAGTCTCAAGACCTTCATTCTTTCCCTCTGCCTGAGACTGACTCTCAGCGATGAATTGTACCACACGGTGGCCCATTGCGTGCTTCTCTCACCTCGTGGCTTAGCACAAATCCAATTTTATGTAGGGGCATCTACCGCAACGGTCATAAATTGACGAATAGGTGGTATGCGGCGAAACGGCTGGTGACGAACAAACCGACTGCCACTACACCAACTGCTATTCGACGTAGCGCGACTGCGGGAGCGAGCGACAGATGACGATCTGGAAGGTTCCAGGTGCTCAGCTCACCTCGCACGGGCAGTCGCACAGGATCTCCGCGTTGATGTTGAGGCCGTCGTAGAAGCGCGCCGGCTTCAGCGTGAAGTTGATGTTGCTGCGCTCCCTGGGTGTCATGTCGCACAGCGACCGCTCGTTATAACGCTCGTCCGCCGTCAGCTTCACGCGGTAGTTCACCTGCACGGCGACGCGGGCGGTGGCGGAGGGGAGGGCACGTGAGAGCACGGAGAGATGATGCACGGGGATAAGGGGTCTCGGGGGAGATGGCGGTAGAGGGGAGATGGGGGTCACGGAGTTATGGTGACACAGGAACATGGGGACACGGGGTCATGAGGCACACGGGGGTCATGCGGGACATGAGTACGTGAGGGCACAGGGACTGTGCATGGGGACAGGACTCATCTGCCGTACTCCCATCTCCTGGCTACCTCGTTGCCCAAGCCCACAACCCCCGTTCGTCTCAAGCAGTCTCCCATGCCGAGTGCTGATGCCTTACAACACCTGGAATCCCAGAGCAGGTTCTCATGTAAGGCTCAACTCTGCTCAACTTCCAAGATCCGACGACATCAGGCACATGCAGGCTGATTCGGCCACAGACCGTGAGTCTGCACCACAGCATCGAGGGGGTGGAGAGGGCCGAGCCCCTCCTACATTATGATAGTGAAAGTAAAAAAAGTGTGGGTACAACATTTGACCCGAGTGTCGGTTCGTAGCTTCAGCCTTTGCCCACACACACAGAACGAGGTAGCGACAGCAGAACGCATGATAGATGACAGGGTCGTGCCCTCCCTCACTCCCAGAGTTTCTGTATGCTGCCCCCCTCTGCTCCCCCGTCTTTAAACTATCGGCGTGGTGGCGAGATGTTAGCTACCTCGCCTAGTATACAAGAGGCCGTGGGTTCGATCCCGACCCTGACACCTGTATATTTTTAGTTTGCATGTTTTTCTCCCCGTGGTCATGTGGATTTTTCTCCGGGTCCTCCAGGTATTTACTGCCACGTTTATAATCAACGTGAGTATTTGGCTGCTATAAATGTCCACGTGATCAGCCACTCTGTTGAGCTATCATTTGTGATAGCCAGGTCACTTCTGCAAAAGAGCTTCATATCTCAGTGGTGCCTTACCTGGTGAAATAAAAATATGAAGGTCGTTTTTTGTTCCCTCAAAGCAGAAATCATTTTTAAGAGTTTAAAAAACGAGGTCACGAGGCAGGGCTGCTGCCGTGAGCCACCGCTTGGGCCCAGGAGCCGGGCCTGCGTCGCCGCCGGACAACAGCGTGGCCCAGCGGAGGAGGAGACACTCACGATCTGGCCCGGCGTCGCGGTCACCACGCTGGCGTCCTTCTCCGTGCCGTCGGCCGCCACCTGCAGGAACTCGGCCTTGAGGTAGCGCGGGAGCCCCTCGGCCTGCAGCTGCAGCTTGGAGCGCAGAGCCTGCACAAGGCCGGGAGCGCGCGGCGCGTTAGAGAAGGGCCGAGCAGAGGAACGCCGGTCGCCACCAACAACGCCGTAGTCCGACTCTTACATCGACTGACAAGCAACAGACTTAATTTGCCCCTTGGATAGGTTGCCTGTCGGGCACAGCACCTGAGGGCTGCCCCCTGTTGTGGTTTTGCCGACGATCGCCCTTCACTTTGAAGACGCTGTCCAGGGAAATCTGTGGGCCTTCCCGGGACATTAACGGTCCCGGTAATATTTTTATTTACGTCGAAGTAATAATAATAGTAGATCACACAAGACGGTGCATTTACATGTAGCTCTCCTCCCCTTCCTGTACCGTGAGATATTCCTCTTCGCATGACATGTCCCATTGATTTTTTTAACCTCAGAGGTGCAGACCCAAGGGCTATTTTTATTTGTTACCAGAAGGAACCAGGGATCTAACAGGTATTGATGAGCAGCTATGCACAACCTTTGATTCAGTAAAAAAAAAAACACGAGAGAAAATGTAAATTGTGCTAATCGTATGAGGTGTTAGAAATCGCCAAACTCTCCTCCCATTCGTCTACAGCAGAAATAAACATTCCGAACAAAGCCTCAGATAAAAAAAAGAAGCTAAATAATGAGAATTCAGCACGCAGACAAGGTGTGCGCGGATCACTTAGGAGCGTGTGGATGACGGCAGCAAGCACGGATCGTGGAGAATTGGACAAGAGAGACGTTTTATCTTCTTGCTTCTTTCGGTAAAGTCACGTAGAAGGGAAATAATGAAGTAATAAAATAATAAAAATAAAACATAATAAAATACAATACAATGTTTTATTTTTATTACTTTATTATTTCCCTTCTACGTGACTTTACCGAAAGAACCAAGAAGATGAATCCCTGCAGTCACGAAAGCTTTAAATCGAAACTCAACGATGTATAAACACTGGATGGCCTCTGTACAGATGGAGTAAGAACTCAGCTGTGAGTGACACAGTCAATGGCTCAGCTGGCTGTCGTGAGAAGTGAAGACTTGGGCCATGTTTGATACGTTTTACCGTCGTAAATGTAAACAAAAAACACCCCCCCCCCCCCCCCAACGGGGGGTGCCAGGCCGCTGGGCGTGACGGTGGCCGCACCTTGAAGGAGGACTGCAGCAGCTGGATGATGTTGGAGGAGTCCTCCTGGAGCTCTCCGTACGTCGAGTCCGGGAAGAACTTCGCCAGACTCTGCCGAGACACGGGCACGAGAAACACGGGCGGTCGACTTCCCTCCACCAACAACGACGACAACAACCGCCGTTCATCACTAATTCAGGCGGTGACGTCACCGCGCCGCTTGTGCCATGCTAGGTGCACTCTGAGGCCACGTGACGTGTCGAAGGTGCCGTCGGTTGACTGACTGAGATGGCTGGCAGATGCGCCACCCGTGCCCCCTACTGTGCCAACTTGCTGCGTTTTAGCCACCCGGATCTCTCCGCTCGTTGTTGTGAGCGTCGCTCCTCCGCCCTCCGTTGTTGCTGGAGGGCGACTGCCTCCAACTTCCCAGAAGCGTCCTACACGAACCTCCGCCACAGAGGTCGATCTTGACACTGCTGCTACCAGTCATCGGCGAGTCCAATCAGCTCCACATCCTCCTGTACTCTAGCCCATGCCGCGCCCGTTTAGCCCCATCTATCTGGCGGAACAGAAGCTGCTTGGGCATGCGGTGGCTGGGCATGCGATGGCTGGGCATGCGGGCCACATGGCCCAGCTACACACCACGTGACCTTAGAACTGCTTTTGTATTTAGTTTGTTGTCCATCCCCCGCACCTCCGATTAGCGTGGTTGGCTACGTATGGTGTGGAAGAAGTTCAACATACATACAAAGATCCCTCGTGTAGCCTTGAACAGGCTGGTGGGGCAAGTGCTGTTAGCAAGTAGCACCTATGAAGGGTGGCCAACACCACGCCCGGTGGCCTTTGTCTCCCCAGTGGCGATGTTTACAAACCACACCAGGAACTCATTTGAGGCCGAGTCAACCTAGGGGAGGCCCCGGTTCAGATAATCGTCACCGATGTTGGCCGCGAGCGGGAATCGAACTCGGGTCACGGGGTTCGTAGCGCAGCGCGCTAACCGCGACACCGCCGCTCCCCTTACACACACACGAAGAAACGTCGTGATTTAATGTAGTTGTTTTTTCAATTATTTATTTTTACCCACGTGACTTTACCGAAAAAACCAAAGAGCATGAATCCTTGCAGTCACGAAAACTTCAAATCTAGAATCCCCCGTCTAGCTTGAACAGAATGTTAGGGCGAGTGTTGTTAGCGAGCCGGCACGGCACACATACACACACGCACCAGCGCGCTCCGCGTGACACGCGGCGATAGAGGGGGGGGGTGACCTCACCGTGTACCACTCGATGGCGTGCTGCGTGACGGCAAAGATGGGGATGATGTTGTTCTTGCCCAGCAGGCGCACGAGCGTGGGCACGGAGGGGTAGTCCTGCGTCTCGCCCTCCGTGTAGTCGCCGTCGGGGGTCAGGTGGCACTGCTCGTCGTTGCGCTTGAGGATCCCCGCGAGGACGTTGGCTCCGTCGGCCTCGTAGTGGAAGGCCGACTCCGTGGAGAACACCAGCAGGTGGGTGGTGCGGTTGCGCCAGCCGATCTCCTTCTGCACAGTTTTTTTTTTTTAAGTTTTTTTCAGTTTCATTTATGAGGTATAGCCCTGTGAGCCATTCGGCTCTTGCATCGGGTGCAACCGCAACAAACAAAAACGTGAACAAGGAACATCTTCAAGTGACTACGCGCAAACAGAAAAATACAGGAAAAAACAGCAAAGTCTTCCAGAAAAAGCACCGATTTTCAACGCTGTGTGCAAAAATCCAAGTGGGATGCTGCAATTCAAACTATAACAACCATAAGACAATTTAGATTAAAGTTATCAAACAAATATGGCGAAACCAAAACGTTTTCGAAGTCACCAAAATAAAGCTATAAAAGCAATGTAACAGTGATCATAGGAACTATGATTGAAATTTTACAATAAACGATCTATATAACATGTACGACAAAACTTTGCAGCCATAGCTGGCTGCATGAGTCACTCCATAATAGCAGGAGTATCAGGAGGAGCATCAAAGATTTTCAATGCACGGCGAGGTACGGAGGGCACGCCAGGGAGTGTGTGTCAGTGCCAGTGTGTGTCTGTCTGTTGTCAGTGTGTGTCGGTGTGTGTGTGTCAGTGTGTGCGTGGTCCTCCACGAGGAGCAGGAGTGCAAAGGTCATCACGCTGCCCTACGAACCCAGCGACCCGAGTTCAATTCCGGCCAACACTGGTGACGATTATCCGAGACGGTCCTGGGCCTCCCCCGAGTCAACTCAGCCTCAAAATGAGCACCTGGTGCGATTATGCAAACATCGCCACTGTGGAGACAAAGGCGGCCGGGCGTGGTCCTGGCCACCCACCCCCTCGTGGTGTTTTGCCTTCTGTCATAGGTGCTCGCTAACACCCCCCACCACCTCCGTCTTTGTCGTTGTACAGTACTTCTGCGTCATCGTGCGCAGTGCCCCCCCCCCCCCCCCGTGCCCTCACCGTGCACACGGCCACTTGCAGCATGGCATCGAAGCCGCCCTCGGGAGCGTCGCGGTTGCCCGAGATCCGCTCGCCCTGCAGCTTGTCCTGGAAGTGCTGCACGTCGGACGTGAGCGGGATGACGTTCTTGAAGGAGAAGGGGGGGTCGCTGTCCTCCCACGGCTGCTTCAGCCTGTAGGGGGTAAGGCGGGCGGGGGGGGTGAGGGGGGGGGGCAGGATACGCGCCGACGTTGATCGATGCTACCCGCTCACTCGAACTCCGCCAAAGGTTCTTGGGGCCGTCCATAAATGAGGTCACGCGATTTTGGACGATTTTGACCCCCCCCCCCCCTCGTCACACGGCGTCACAAAGAGTCAGACCCCCCCCCCCCTTCAAATATGACGTCACAAAGCTCTGCCCCCCCCACCCCAAAAATAAAACATCCTTCAAATCGCTTTAAACTATTGTCATTGTAGTGCGGATTTAATGTGGCGCTGCACTCTGATGTTGTGGGAGAAAACATTTCTTAAAAGTCTATTTAGTTAAGTAGAATGTGTTGTCTATATTTATTAAAAGTTGCGCATTTTGATGTGACGTCACATTGCTCCAACCCCCCCCCCCCCTCTTCACACATCGTCACAAATGTCTGACCCCCCCTCCCAGGTGCGTGACGTCATTTATGGATGGCCCCCTTGATGTTACTCGCCACTGATGTTGGCCGTGAGCGGGAATAAAAGTCGACGCGGTGACTGCCGCACCACCGCCGATGGGATGGTAAATCAAACGCAGCTTGGTACACACGCACACACAAAGACAAAGTTCCCCCGTATAGCCTCAGCAGACTGCTGGGGCATGTGCAGTTCGCGAGCAGCACCTATGAAGGCCGGCACGGCACACGAGGGGGGTGAGTGGCCAACACCACGCCCAGCCGCCTTTATCTCCGATGTTTACACACCACACCAGGTACTCATTTGAGGCTGAGTCGACCTAGGGGAGACCCAGGACCGGTTCAGATAATCGTCACCGGTGACGGGAATCCAACTCCGATCACCGCGTTGTGCCAACAGCTACATTACAGCGGTCTCACAAAACAAAGACAAAGATCCCCCATATAGCCTTAACATACTGTAGGGGCAAGTGTTGTTAGCGAGCACCTCAGTCACATGCCAGTCCCGGCTCCTTCTCTCGGTCACGTGGCTCAACGTGGGATAGATTTGGCCCGCGATGCTGGCGCACCGCGCGTCCGCTCTTATTGACGAGGGCGAATGAATTCGACATCGCTTTGGCGGACGGGTTCCGGAGGCCCAGGAGCCGGTTCAAATGTCACTCGTCACTGCTGTCAGTTATCCTTGGCCGGGAATTATCCATCGTAACTTCATATGACTACATTAACACCCCCCACCCCCACACACACACAGACCCTATGGTCTTCGCACCTGGTAGGCTCACGGTGATGCCATCACCTCGACTCTCCTCTATTTAAGACCGGAAGCAGGAAGACTTCCTCACAATTCTGGCAAATCGCCTGACGAGGCTGGTTGTAAACCAGCAGTGAAAACGTCGTGCTCACATTGTTCGTGTTGTTGCAAGTTTACTCTCCAACGCCCAACAACCGGTGTGCTGAACTAGTGACGAATTGGCACGTTTTGTTTACGTGACAAGCCTCACTAATTGGCCGTGTCGGGTGGTGGCCGGTTTAACGACAAATCCATATTCACGCGATCTAACCCCCCCCCCCCCAAAAAAAACCTTTATTTTTGGAATTAAACTCACTGCTCGGTGTGCCAACCACCGCACCAGCTGTCCACCACGCAGCGGTGCACGGCAATTGCCCGTCATTGCCGAACACAAGGGAATGAATGCCCTGTTGCCCCGCTTAAGACGGAGTTCACCAACGTTTCTGTGGCGCACTATCGCAGCAACGGTGCAGTCAGGATGCGCGCCTCGTTGTCCTTGACATATGCGACGTGTAAAACATGTAACGGAGCACTTGCTAAAATTAAAAAACCTCGTCCCATGCAAGCATAATCAACCTCGGATGTTCGCACCCCTTTCTCTCGTTTATCTTTACTGCCCAAGTACGGGTCCACGGATCAAGCTCCCACCAGTGCATCGGACCACACTCTACTCCCCCCCCCCCCCCCCCCCTACGGTGGCTTCCAAGCCGCAGCCTTGAGCCGGAGCGTTGCGGTGCAAGTGACGCGCAGAGCTCCGCACAGGCGCATTCTGGAATCCGCTGCTCTGCAGCCATCTCGTGGCCACCCCCGCGGGCCGAGCCCACGACACGAGGTGTTACGTCCGCGCGCAAGGAAATTGCGCTTGTGACGTTGTGCAACGGACGTTCAACAACTTGCAAAAAGTGGCCAAACCCCCCACCATCGCCATTCACGTAAAACTTATTTTTTATGTTGTCTTAACATGCTTGTTTTCCCAGGAAAGTTTCACCAAGCCTGAGGGCTCTCTTTTTAATGACAACCCCTACTCGTTATCTCAACGGCCACGATGCTACGTACTATTTTATACTCGGGACCTGGTCGTCCTTTGGCGTCGTTCTCTGGTCTGACACTGGTGGTGAGACTAGGCCATAAAGAAGGCTGCTGTCTCTGGTGTAGGCCAATCAGTTTCAAGGACAATGCCCATATAAATATCAGAGCCATGTTTTGTTTGCATGTTCACCACAAGTACGTGTGTGGTTGATGCAGACATGATTCCTTGCAAAAGATTTCCATTCGGTGTTTGAACATCTTAACACCTGTTTTATTGCCAGAAGGGGTAAAACCTATTCTTATTTATTCATACTCTTATAACTGTCGCAAAACGCCTTGGAGTAAGGCGTTGCATAAATGCGATATAAGATGAAGGTGAGAACAAGCAGCAAACGCGCCATTGGCAGGGAGCATCACTGGCTGTGTGATGAGCAGTTGCGGTGGTGAGATGTTAACTCCCTCGCCCAGTATGCAGGAGGTCGTGGGTTCCATCCCAACCTTGGCGCCTGCTGCTGTATATTTGGAGTTTGCGCGCATCTGTCTTCCCGTGGTCACGTGGTTTTTTCTCAGGATCCTCCGGTTATCCCCTCCACGTTTAGAAACGTGGGTTTAGAGCAGTGGTTCTTAACCTTTTTGGAGGTACCGAACCCCACCAGTTTCATATGCGCATTCACCGAACCCTTATTAATTGGAAAAATAAAATAAGATCTTTTCAAATTCAAAACATAGGTATATGTTTTACTGGTGCACAATCATATGAGTCGGGTGTGTGTCTTAACCTCCGCCGAACCCCTGAGACTGACTCACCGAACCCCTGGGGTTCGATCGAACCCAGGTTAAGAACCACTGGTTTAGAGTATTTGGCTGTGGCTATAAATTGACACGTGCTAAGCCACGTCGCTGGCCACGTCGTTTATGATAAAAGAGCTGTAATAATACAGTGGGCCATACCTGATAAAAAATATAATTCTAGTTTAAAAAAACACGACCGCAGTGTCCTCACTTTTCCGGCCGCATGTCCGTCTGCGGCGCCACCACCTTGTCGACGAACTTGCCGAAGCCAATGTGGAAATCCTCGGAGAGCTCCTGCACGACGCCAGCTGCAGCCACACACAGCGCACGAGATGCAGTGCGTGAGGTATGGAGCACGGGACACGGCGCACGGGACACGGCGCACGGGACGTAGAGCACGGGACGCTGAGCAGGTGCGCTTTCTCAACCCACGAGACACAGCACACAGGATACAACGGATGGGACACTGCACATTGACGAAGCACGCGGGACAGCACGGAGCACACAAGTGCAGCCAACGCTGTCGATAGGGGCGAGCGTGTACCCGAATCGTGTCTGTGGGCACGGACACCCAGAGGGAGAAATTTTGCCCAGGCCTCAGACAAAATATGTTAACTCACTCGCCTGGTATGCAGGAGATCGCGGGTTCGATCCTGACCCTGACGCCTGCTGTATATTTGGAGTTTGCACGTTTCTCTCCCCGTGGTCGCATGGATTTTTCTCCGGGTCCTCCGATTTTTCCCTTCCACATTTAGAATCAACGTGCGATTAGAGTATTTGGCTGCTATAAATTTCCACACAATAAGCCACTTCGGTGAGCAATCATGTATGATATGTCGCTTCTGAATAAGAGCGAAATAGCTCAGTGAGGCCTTGCCTGGTAAAATAAAAATAGTTTAGTTTCAGAAAGAGGGCCGCATTACAGAGCAGCCCCCCACGTGGTATTCTGCCGAGGGCCCCCCAGGAACCTTTGGGCAGCCCTGTGCACGTGCGACGCTTTTGTTGATCCACCGCTGGACGAGGAGTCCCCCCACTGGGAGCCCACGAACTCACCCAGCTGTTTGCCCAGCTTCTTGAGGTTGTCCAAGTCGTCGTTCATGGAGTTGGAGTCGTCCATGAGGAAGTAGAGGTCGACAGGCGTCTTGAGGGGCTCAATTACCTGCATGTCAAACTTGAGCGAGTCCCCTGCACACGCACAGAGACAAAGATCGCCCGTATAGCCTTAACAAACTGTTGGGGCAAGTGCTTTTTGCAGGTAGCACCTATGAAGGTCGGAACGGTACACGAGGGGGTGGGTGGCCAGCACCATGCTTGCCCACCTTTGTCTCCCGAGTGGCGATATTTACGCAGCAGGTACTCATTTGAGGCCGAGTCGACCCAGAGGAGGCCCAGGACCAGTTCAGATTATCGTCACTGCTGTTGGCCATGAGCGGGAATCGAACTCGTGTGGCTGGGTTTGTAGTGCAGCGCAGCACTAAGTGGTACACTCCCGCTCCCCTGCACGTGCACCTCCGATTTGCACGGTTGGCTACGTACGGTGCGTAAAAAGTTCAGCATACATACACACGCACGCACACCACCTCGTCAGGGAACCCCATAACACTCGTAATCTGCGTCTATACCATGACCCGAGTTTAATTTCTGACGAAGGCCCCTTATGAGTGAACTGGTCCTGGGTCTCCCCTCGGTGAGTACCTGGTGGGTGTGTAAACATCACCAATGGGGAGACAAAGTCGGCCGGGCGTGGTGCTGGCCACCCACCCCCTCGTGTGCCGTGCCGGATGCGTGGAAACAGGACTAGCCCCCAACAGTCTGTAAAGGCTACGCAAGGGATATTTGTCTGCGTCATTGTATCTGTATCATTGTGTCACCCTGTGCACTTCTGTCTGTTCCACTGTATCTGTGCCACTGTATCGCTGCACCTTTATCACTCTGTGAAGACGAGACTGTTTGCAGAATAGAAATTCAAAATGGCCGACGTCACCTTGATATGCAAAGCCGGCTGAGATTCCTGTTATGTGTGTGATATATATTTAAAGCGCTTATTTTTTGCGTTCTCAAGATGAAGTGTGTTCGTCGACCGGGGCCTGGAGTTCGATCCTCGCTGCTCATTCTAAACAGGAGTGCGCGGCTGTGTGGGTATGTCAGGTGGAGTCCTGGCTTACCTGGTCTCATCTTGATGTTCATGGACTGTGGAGACACTTGGGCGTAGCGTGAGCTCATCATGTCCGAAGTGGACAAACTCTGTGACACAAAATCAGACGAGAGGATGCGCATTTAGTCGGCACGCACACACGCAGCTGAAACCGGTAGCCCGACAGTCCTGCCACTCGTACCACTGTCCCACTAGCACTTCCGAGCTGAGTCAGGATTTCCTCCGGGTATTTGACGTGCCAAGTCGGATCCAAACCGTGATAAGGCTGACCTCACAAGACATCCGAATCTACCTTGTGGCCAAGCATTGTCCAGGGGCGGGGATAACGATGCATTCATTGTGTGTGACGTGGATCAGTACGCTGTGAGGACATCGTCCACACAGCGTCCTGACTCATTTGTTGATGTGCGACGCCAGCGGCACGGCACGGCTTCTGCAGTGGAAAATAAACTTGAAGCCTCCAGAGGCGGGCGGGGCTAGCTCGGCACAGCCTTGGCGCGGCTCGGTTGTGCAGTGGAAAAGAGGTATTGGTGCCAGCTGTCGGCACAGACTCACTCGTTTCTCCAGCTCCGCGAGAATGCACAACACGAGTCTCAACCAAGCCCTATGAATTCACATTTTAAGTATTGGCCTGACCGTCGTGCAACAGACTCGGAGCGCTTGGGAAAGTGCGACCCCTGTATGTACACGTATGTATGTTGAACTTCTTTCGCACCAAACGTAGCCAATCATGCTAATCGGAGGCGCGACCCCCTGATGTGTAAAGGGACCAAAGGCAACGTGAAGGATTTTCAGGGACCCTGCAAAACATGTGATCTTCCGCAGCCGTTCTCTCAGACATGGCGTGTACCGTTCCGTGAGTTTTCTGAATGGATCCTCCATCTCGTGACACAAACACCGATAATTATCGCAGTTGGAATAAATTTGTGCGGGTCCAAAAAGACCGATCTTTTTTCTGTTTTAATCATTACCGATCGATGACTGATCGGCACGTCGTCGGCACGCCCCAAAATACAAACCCGCGAAACGAGAATCCACCCCGGGACGCTGCATCAGTTTGCGATTCTTCGTTACCCGCCGGGACATCCCGTGCCCCCTTCGCTCACCTTCATCACTTCGGAGGACGTGCGCACCATGGTGATCTGGCCGCATCGCTTGGCCTGAAGGTTCTCCAGCAGGTCGCAGCGCTTCTCCGTGAAACCCTGTCGCACGCCGGAGAAGGTGGGGGCACAAGTCATTCCCCAACTCAATGGAAGGTCGCTCCTTCACCTCTCCTGCACCCCCCCCCCTCCCCCCGTGTCTAAGACTTCATCCTCCTGTGCGGCTTCCGCACCGCCGAGAGGCTTGGCGCGGTGGTCGGCCGGACGTGCGACCGTGCACCTCACCTCTTCGAAGCAGTAGGAGCACTTGGGCCCGATCTTGAGGCATTCCCTGCAGGTGAGGGGGTTGTTTGAGAGACATTGGTTTATCCCTGTGGGGGGAGGGGGGGCAGAGAGAGGGGAGGGGAGAAGACGCATCACACCCCACCCAATTCCGCCCTGCTACCACTCGACGCCCACCCCTCCTAACCCCTCTGACATTTTGCAAACTCCCCGTGAAACGAGGTCGTGCTGCAGGGGTTGGCCAATACTTCACAGCGCTGTTCGGCGCGGCTTCAGCTATATCGCTCGCTCAAGCAACGTTGGGCACGACCGGTCGGCTCCGTACAGTGCGAAAGAAGTTCAGCACGCGTACATACGCTACGCGAGGCCCAGGCGATGCCTCTTCCCCGCCCCAAAAACATAGCGGTGCTCAACCCACTTAAAGCCGCGCCAGGGGAGGTGCGCAGGCTGCAGAATGGTTACCGGGCAGGAGAAATCTAGAATGTCAGCGCCACGTGGCGGCGACAGTGCACACAGCGTGAAACAAATGCCGTACGAATGTCGCGGTGACGAGCGGAGTGGACATGCCATCGCTCTGTATAGTGTGGCCTTATTCGTCTTAGGGGTGTAGGAAATCGTGGTCTTCGTTGGGGGGGCCACAATATACATTTAGAATCAAGATCGCGCGTTTAAGAGTATTTGGCTGCTATAAATTTCCACGTGACAAGCCACTTCGTTGAGTTATCACTTCTGGCCAGGTCGCTTCTCAAAAAGAGCTACACATCTCAATGGGGCCTTACCTTGTAAAATAAAATACAAAACAGCTTCGTTAGTTCTAGCCTTGACTCACCTTGGGTCTGCCCGTGACTCAGGCCAAAGGCAGCCAGGAACACCAAGAGCCACGCTGCCTCCATGCCCCCTCTCTCTCTGTCCCTGCAGGTGAAACAGACAGACACAGACATGCCCACTGAGCCCCTTGTAAGCTCCCAAGGACCAAACGCTGCCTGTGCGCCAGCCTGCCCGTGCTGGCACGGCGCGTGAGCGGGACAATGTCTGGTGTGCGGCATTGCCACCTTGTCAGAGGGTGACCAGGACAGTCTGGGATTTGGCGTCTTTGTCCGGGTAGCAGCAAGAATCGATTTTTATATCGAGATTTGTTACCGGTATTTCCACGTTGAACTTTTCACTGCGGTAACCTGCAGAGTTTTGATAACAAAACGTGGGCTGACAGAGAAGTATGGCCCTGTGAACCACAGTTGTATCCCCAGTGTTCATATTTCCACACTGTACCACGTACAGTACTCATTTAACGCTGAGTAGATCTAGAGGTGGCCGAGGCCTGGTACATATTTCACTCGCCATTCTTGCTCGCCGTGGCTGGGAAACGAACTCTGCTCAATGGGTGTGTAGTGCAGTGCGCGAACTATGCCACCACTCTCCGCAAACAAGCAACAAAAACAAAGATCCCCCGTGTAGCCTTAACAGACCGTTGGGGCAAGTGCTGTTAGCGAGCACCTATGAAGGCCGACACGGCACACGAGGGGGTGGCTGGCCAGCACCACGCCCCGGTCGCCTTTGTCTCCCTAGTGGCGATGTTTACACACCGCACCAGGTACTAATTTTGAGGCTGAGTCGACCTAGGGGAGGCCCCGGACCGGTTCAGATAATCGTCACCGGTGTTGGCCGTGAGCACGTAAAGTATGTTACGGAGGCGCTCGCATTCATACACGCATGGACCCAAGCCAACATGCAAATATTCACACTGGCACACACACGTCAAATGTGATGTCAACGGATCACTGTAGCTGGTACTCATGTAAAGGCTGAGTGGACCTAGAGGTGGCTGGGGACTGGTTCAGATATGACTTGCTACACACGCACGTGCATAAACCTACCCTTAGAGTATGCCCAGTCGCGAACACAAAGACAAAGGTCTGGTTTAGTCTTGCATACCGAATACCAAAGCGCCTTAACTTTACACGCATGCAAAGTCAAACTCGGTGGGTTCACACGAGGTCCTGGCCATAAAATTGGCCAACCCTGCAGTCCAATAAAATGTCACTGATAGACCAGAGTAGACTAAACAGGGTTCTGTGACACGGGGGCGACGGGCGGTCATCTGTTTGGAACACATTTCTCAGCAAACAAAGAAAATGTTTGATTAAGTCTCGCACGGTCGCACCCAGGGGCTGTTATATTTCGTGGCTCCTCTTGCCTCATCCCATCGTCGTCATGCTCACGGTCTCGAACATTTAACGCTGTATGGGGCGCGCTCTATCTATACAGCCAACTACAGCTCCGTAGTGGGCATCTCTGCGCAATGTTACGCTGCTGCTCCAATTATAATTTAGAACACAACGTGCAATATTTCCATTAGAATACATTTAAACTGCGCTTTAAATCAGCGTCTGTGTTCTTTCCCACTGTTGTTAAAACAAATCTTAAGGGGGCCCCCCAAGCTCGTTATGCCACTGCCAAGGGCTCATTTTTACCCGAAGCATGATGGGCTTCGTACGACCCATGTCAACTGAACATGACCATGTTTTTTTTTTTCGGTTAGATCGCGTAAATATAAATGTGTCGTTAAACCTGATACCACCCGACACAGCTAATTAGTAAGGTTTGTCACGTTAACAGAACGTGCCAAATCGTTACCAGTACAGCACCACCGGTGTGTTGGAGAGATAATCCACATCACTGTGTTGCTCTCCAACACACCGGTGTGCTGTTCTAGTAACGAATTGGCACGTTCTGTTTACGTGACAAACCTTACTAATCGGCCGTGTCGGGTGGTGGCGGGGTTTAACGACACATTTATATTTACGCGATCTAACCCCCAATAAAACCTGCATTATGGTTGATATTGGTCGCGAAAGCCACCGTGTTAAACAGAACATGACCAACATTTTCACCACGTCACCCTCATGGAGGGGAGTGGGTAGCGCAGTGGTCAACGTACTGCACCGTGAACCACGGAGACCTAAGTTTGATTGCCGGCCACGGATAACACCAGTGGCGAGTGATACTCTATCTCAATTGTTTTTGGATCACCGCCCTGTCACCAGCCTGCACTGACAAGCAATTGGGAAGTAGGGTCCATCACGCCGTGTGTCCAGCAAAGGGTCGTGAGGCCTTCATCTGAGAGGGAATTGACGCAGCGCTGCAAATGAGTATTCATGTTTTGTACTTGTTACTTCTTTTGATGGAGTTTGTGAACATTTTAAACTGGCATCGTTCGAATCTTCTGGCCGTGGTAGTGGACAGGAAACCACAACCAGGAGGCTGGAGGTTACTAATGCAACAATTTGTTTCAATATATATATAAATCAAGAATTGTAGTTTAGAAGAAAATAAATATATCACCACTTATTCAGAACAGGGCTGGTACCGGTCCGTAGGTCAGGTTTAAAAGTAATCAGACCGAGGAGATGAGGGTTTCAGTCTATTGCCAACTAATCGCGATGTACGGTCTGATAGCAGCTATCAAGAAACCCGGAGGAATGATATTTGTTGGTCGTAAAGAGCACACGCAGCACACGAGCTGTCACTGCCCGTCCCCTCTCAGATCAAAATCCAGTTACGCAGGTGTCAGGAGCATCAAGTTGTATCATTATTGCTGGACTTGCCTGGAAAACTGGTGACATGCACACATTTACAAACATCTTCCACTTCCCCAGCAAACGCACGCTTCTGGTGCCTGTGACAGACGAGGTGCATCTTCGATGCCATGTGGAGCGTAAACGTTTCACTGGGCAAGAAGCCACGGGAAATTCCCAGGTGTGAGGGGCGATCGTAACTGAGATGACTGTCAGATAAACCACGTGTGCAGTGACAACTCACGGCGCATTTTAACTGCCCGACGCTCTGCTTGTTGTTGTGAGTGCCATTTCGCTCCTTGTCGTTGCTCAAAGGTTGCTGGCAACTGTTCGGTGGCGTCTGTCATGAACCTCCTCGCACAGCGGCTGACCTTGACACCGCTGGTACCAGCAGATGGACGCTAAGTCCGCTCACCTTCAGGTCTTCCCGTACTGCATCAGCCCATTTCGTCTCTGGTATGTGCCGCACCCATTCAGCCCCCAACACATGGAAACGTTAGAGTGCCGTACGGGACTGTGCTTTAAAAGTATTTATGACTCACGGATCCTCTACAGAGACTACTAATTGCCTTAATAACCTCGATAAATATGTACAATGTTGCCAATGTCACCCCTGCCGTATGAAATCATTAAGTAACACGTTTTTTTTACAGCCCTTTGTCAATCCACTGTTAGAGGAAGGCATAGCCTACACTGTGTCGGGCATGTTTGTGTCACCATACTTCACCCCACTGATGTGTGTACATTGAACTTTTATTTCGCACCGTGCGTAGTCAACCGCGCTAATCGGAAGTGTGGGGGAAGGACAACAATCTACACACAAAGCCAAAGCCAGAAGTACAACTTGAGCCGTTGGGGCTCATTGTGCAGTGTGCCAACTATTGTGCCAAAGTGTTCATCCAGTAGTGGATTGACAAAGGCCTGTTCATTTAATATTTACGTTTATATTATGACATAGAGTCAAAATGTGATAAATTCACTTTGTCCAGTTTTTGTTGCTGTTATAAAGTAAAGCAGCCTTCACGTGTGACTCGACACCCAATATCAAGTTTCGATATAATACAACATTTTTGCAATTTTAAAATATTGTGCATGGCACTTGTCCCACGTCTCTTTTTTATCGCGACGGTTTCGTTGTGTGTCGCGCGTTCGTTGATCCGAAAAAAGGCGTCTCTGCCTTAGAGCCACTCCCTCGCGACCTCGATGAACCACGAGACTGTGGATTTTATCATCCGTTCTGCATCGCAGTGGCTTTTGCAACACCAACTGCTCACGTTCCCATGATTCCAGCCCTTGTCAGCAAGAGAGGTGTGTGGGTGGGGAGCGGTGACACAGTGATCGTCACCATTTATCCCTTGGTATCCACCCCTTGCGAAAGTATAGGTCACTACCTGGTGGGCCCACATAGCTGTCAACCCCATATCAGTGCCCTACCTGAGACCAATTCAGACCTTATTGGTCACCCCGTGCACCTTATAAATCTCAACGTTCATCCTACAAAGTCCCATCACAAGGGAGAAACACAACAAAATCTACATTTTTCAAACGCAATTTCCCTGTACAAGAATACGGGTAAACCGTACATTTTGACAGGTATGGGCCTAATGGAATTTAGAAGAACTGCCCATAGGTAGGAGCACACTTGAACTTACGATCACAACACGTGTCTTTTTTTAAGACGACTTAATGCAATTGTATACACCGGAGTGTATACAATGAACTAACACGGTAGAAACAGCTCATTTATTGCGACGTCTTTGTACGCTTAAGGGTATGTTGAGTTATGATCGTGCAAGGTTTGAAAGTTGGGTGCTAAATGCAAATCGCCGATTGATATTCCCTGCTGTGACTATTTCAACCTTTCCTGGACCTACACCTCACAAATCCGCAGTGACCACCCCTCCTCGCTATATTGCAGCAGTGGATTGGAAAAATGTCCGTAAATTGTTTACGCGAGTCCATGAATGATGTTGTAAACGATGAGCGTGATCGTGAAGTTGATCCAGGACTAATTGGCCAATAGATGCACACACCACAACGTGCGCATCGCTTTGTTCAAAAGCTCTCAGCCTTAAATATGTCGTGGTATCTATGTATTGCCCCGGCCTGCATGAAGCTGTTGTTGTTGTGCTCGTTTCCTGCCATTTACAGCTTTAGATTAACGGGTCAATCGCTGCGATTTGACGTACAGTAGAGGGCCGGATTAGAGTTCTTGTGGGGGCTAGGCACTTCAGTTTCGTAGGCCTTGCGAGTGATAACTTTCTACAATTGGTGCTGCTGATGCCCCGTGTCACTACTACCCCCGCTGTCACAACGCCTTTGTCTTCCCTAGCACCG